AGCCAAGTCTAAAGGGAGAAGCCTCAACGACGCTTTACTACCGGGACCAGACCTACTGCAATCGCTCTTCGGGGTATTACTGAGGTTCCGGCAAGGCCCGTTTGCAGTGGCAGCCGACATAAAGGAAATGTTCCTGCAAGTTCGCATCCGGCCAGAAGATAGAAACAGCTTGAAGTTCCTGTGGCGAGGGGATCGTCGTGACGTAGCACCGAAGGAGTACAGAATGACATCAGTCATCTTCGGCGCGACATCATCTCCTAGCACAGCGATCTACGTGAAGAACCGGAACGCGGCGGACTACAAGAAGCAGTACCCAGAGGCAGCAAAAGCAATCGAGCTGAACCATTACATGGATGACTACCTGCACAGCTTCCATTCAGAAGAGGACTTCAAGAGAATTACAGCGCAGGTGGACTTCATTCACAAAAAGGCGGGCTTCGAACTCCGAGGATGGGCGTCAAACCACTCCGACCTGCTGTAAGACGTGAAGACTGAGTCAGTTGAGAAGACAGAGGTGGACCTTGGTGAGAAGGAAGAGAAGACACTGGGACTACGCTGGTTTACAGAAAGGGACTCCATAGGCTTTAGGGCGAACCTTCGGAACACGCCAGATGAAGTGGCACAAGGACTCAAGGTACCTACGAAGAGAGAAGTCACCAGCGCCGTGATGTCGACCTTCGATCCACTAGGGCTAGCATCACCAATTCTCATCCAAGGCAAAAGGCTGCTCCAGAACATATGGCGAAGTGGCGTCGGTTGGGATGAAGAGATAGAAGAAAAGGAGTACGAGTCATGGAAGACTTACCTGGAGAAGATGAAGCTGCTCCAAGACCTTCAGATCCCGAGATGTCTGGCACCACGTCGCACCGAGGGGGAGCTGCACACGTTCACGGATGCAAGCGAAATGGCGTATGCAGCTACGGTATATTGGAGAACTGAAAATCAAAATGGGACTTATGACGTCAGCTTAGTAGCAGCAAAAGTAAGAGTCGCTCCGTTGAAGCCGGTGTCAATCCCGAGACTCGAGCTGCAAGCGGCCCTCCTAGGAAGCAGATTGGCACACTCGGTCGAGGAAGAAATGGATCTGAAAATAGAAAAGAAGACGTTTTGGACAGACTCCAGTATCGTGCTATCATGGATCAAGACGGACCCGAGAACCTTCAAGACATTCGTGGCTCATCGCTTGGCGGAGATAGAAGATCTCACAAAACCACAGGACTGGAGATGGGTACCGACGGCGCAGAACCCTGCAGATGATGCAACACGTGACGTACCAGAACACTTCGACTGCCAACACCGATGGTACACCGGACCAGGGTTTCTAAGAAGAGATGAAGTTCACTGGCCTGCGGCAAGAACATTCAAGAAAGAAACCACTGGCGAAGAAAAGGCAGCGGACATCGTAGCGACTGCAGGCAGCTCCTATCCATCACCAGATCCCGAAAAGTTCTCGTCGTGGAAAAGACTTTGGCGAGCTACAGCAAGAGTACTGCAGTTCATACAACTCTGCAGAAGAAAGGAAAAGGTCCACGCCAGCAAAGAAGATCCTACCTGGAAAACTACAAAAAGGAATAAGAAAATTGTTGAGAAGCGACATCTGTCTTCAAAAACGTCAGAAAGGAAATACATACCATTGGAAACAAGTCTACTAGAGCAAGCTGAAACGCTGTTGTTAAGAAGAAGTCAAGAGAAATGCTTCAAAGAGGACATCAGGTGCCTACAGCAAGGAAAACAATTAGAGGGCAGCAGCAAGTTGAAAAGGCTCGACGTAGTGCTAGAAGAAGGTCTCCTGCGACTGAAAGGAAGAATCGACGCGATACGAGGGGTTACCAGAGACTACAAACGACCCATCGTACTCGACAGCAAGGACAAGACAACACTTCTCATCATAGAAGAATTTCACTGCCGCTTCAATCACGGGAATCACGCGACCGTAATGAACGAAGTAAGACAACGCTTCTGGGTGCTAGGACTGAGGTCAGCGATCAAGACCATTCAACATCAATGCCAGTGGTGCAAAACAAGAAAGGCAAGACCTCAAGAACTACCAGTGGGCAACTTACCTGCTGAGAGGCTGATGCACGGAAACCCTCCATTTACGTGCACGGGAATAGATTACTTCGGCCCTATGACGATCACCGTAGCAAGACGCCATGAGAAGAGATGGGGTGCTCTATTCACATGCTTAACAACACGAGCTGTACACTTTGAGCTCACTCCTTCACTCTCCACTGACAGCATGATCATGGCACTACGACGATTCGCCGCGAGAAGGGGAATGCCAAAGATAATCTACACCGACAATGGCACTAACTTCGTTGGCGCCAACAAAGAACTCAAAGAAGCACTAGACACCATGAAGCAAGAAGACCTTATCTCGGAAGCGGAGAAGATCGGTGTGCAGTGGAAGTTCATACCTCCTGGTGCACCAAACATGGGAGGTGCATGGGAGCGTCTGGTGCGATCCATTAAAACCGCACTGGACGCCACGCTCAACGAAAGGCAACCACGAGAGGAGGTACTTCATACCCTCCTGTTAGAGGCCGAGCACATAGTCAACTCTCGGCCCCTCACCCACCTCTCCTAAAAACCCTGAAGAAGAAGCACTTACACCGAACCACTTTCTCATCGGGCGATCATGTGGCGCAGCAAGAATCGGCAGCTTCGAGGACAACGAGCTTGTGGGCAGACACACCTGGAAGGCTACGCAGCGACTTGCCGATCACTTCTGGCAACGTTGGCTGAGAGAGTATTTGCCCACTCTACTACCAAGGAAGACCAAAGAAAGAGTCAGCGCCACAGATTTGCAAGTCGGAGACATCGTACTGATCGTCGATCACAGCCTACCAAGATGCATCTGGCCACGCGGAAGAATCCTGCATGTGTATCCGACCAGAGTCGTCGACGTCGAGACCAGAGGAGGTGTTCTACGGAGGCCCAGTTCGAGAGTGGTGCTGTTGGTGCCGGGAGCGTCGCCGAGTCCAGGAGTTGGTGCAAAGCACGAGGGGGAGAATGTCGGCGACGGAAAACTTATCTTCGAGTAACGTGTGTATTAATATAGGGACAATGTCATTTTAGCGTATCATGAATAATTGTTGTAAATATGAAATCTCATTCTTATTAGATTTATTATGTTAAAATAAGTTCTAATTAGTGTAATAAGGTTAGTTTAGAGTATTTTTTGCTTATTTGAATCATATAAGACTATTTAACATTAATTTGAAAGGAATAGGTACGTAAGTAAAATGTTAGCATATAATTACGTAACTTGAAAATGAGATTTTTTGTTTCTTGCAATAGCATAATAGTTTATGTTTTAAATAATAGATTTTATTATAAAACTTATAATAAAACAAGAATTAGGTCGATAGGACTATCCGTTCAAAAGTTATAAGGGAAAATGTATAGTAAAAATGTAGCAACCTAGAAATTTAGATATTTTTGTTTTAAGACTTTTTAATTAATTATTATATATTGAATATTATGTTTTAATATTGTATAATAGTATGTAAGGCATGTAAATAAATAAATATGTGTAAGGTGTTTTACTGAAAACATAAAATAAAAGGACTCTCAAGGTTTCGGTTTAGGGAAATTTTACTCGAAAAATGAGCTCAAAGTACGCGGCTCTCTGTAAGGTATTAACGGGCCAAATAAAAGGCGAGCCATTTCTCGATTCGAGTCAGTCGCAAGACAGCCACCGAAGAGGCAACAACTAAAAGGAAAAGGAAGAACCGAAACCAAGAGAGAAAAAAGGAAAAATTGTGTTTTATTTCATCGCCTCTAAGTATAGTCTCCTGTCAACGAAGAAACCCTAGTGGATCGGGACCCAAGCTACGCATTCAGGGGTGCGTGGTGGCGTACATTACCAGCGAACGGACATACTGCCGTGTACGCCAAGAACGTCTGGGAGATTGTCCCAGGTCGACCTCCGGGTACTAGACATACCCTGGTTCTGGTCGTCCGAAACAGACTCAGTCAAAATTTTATTATATGTATAGAATATTGATTATTTCTTTTGGCGATTTTTCATTCAAATTATCGAAAACAAATGAACTTTACGGTACTTTATTGCTGATACTTTATTGTGTTGTAAGTGCCTTCTATCTATGTACATATACACACCTACGGGTTTCATAGCTCGGTCCAAGGTTATAAAAGAAAATGAGATCATAGAATGTTAGTCATTCTATAACCTTTCTATAACCTTTCAACAAGACATTACTATTCTTTATGAGGAAAATGCTATGTACAATTGGCTAACTTTTCATAATCCACGAGATAAAGCATAAATACGACGTGGGTGACATGTATGTTAACAAAGAGCAATGTAAGTTCTTACTAAGTTGGAGTTTGGACCATTTCTTACAACCTTTTAACACATTTACAAAGTTATATTCGAGAGCGAACGGTTTGAAATAAATAAACAATTAAGTACCGAAAAATTTAATAACAATGGAAAACAATAGAGAGAAGTTTTGTAGACATTTTAAGTTATGTTTAAACAAAATATAATTTTAAATGTTATTAATTTTTTCTACTTTTAACCATATTGGCAAAGTAACAAAGGTAATTAAAAAAAATAACAAAGTCAATTATAATTATTTACAATTAATTTGTTTTATCTGTAACATGAAAGACTGTCATAGAATGTATGCTGGGACAAGGAGTAAAAGTCCTTTGAAATGTCCTTATTTAAGTTATTTAAATGTAACCTTGGCTGGTAATTATTATACACAATGTCATGCTAAGGAAACATAATATTATCAGCAAACATTTATTTTGTGTGTAGCAAAATGTACTCACATTTTATAATATCCTCCCAGTGCACATCATAATATAAGATACTTAGTTGTAACATAAATTCAATATGCTACTTATCTTCACAGAGCTGTTTAAACACATTATAATATTTAAATTTTTAAACGTTACTATTTGTAATTGTAATTTTGTAGTTATGGGTTTGATAAACGTATGAATTAGTAGAATGTAATGCTCACCTGCTTTGTTTCTTGGTGTTTGTGAATTTTTCTGGTATAAGACATAGAAATTGTTCTATTTTGTCCCATACCATTGGTTCTTTCTTAATCTGAAAATAAATAAATAATAATAAAATTATTATATAAAATACATCGTAGCAAAACTTTTCAGGTAGGTAATAAAGTTTTAAACGTTGATACACAAATTGTATGACTGCAAGTTTATCACAATATTATATTTGTCTTGATGATAGGCAGAGATAGTAATTGCTGGTTTTATTATTTGTTTTATAATGATGTGTAAGTTTTCTTATTTGTGCATTTTCTTAGTTGATAAATAAATAATTTAAAACTATGTTTCAGTTCCATAAATTGTTCCATAATTTGTTGAAGCCGGAGAGCTATTTTTTTATTTTGGAATAGACACAAATAGTTTTGAGATGTGAATTAGTATTGTTTTACCAAAACTGGAAAATATTACAAAAATAATAAATAAATCGACTGCATAAAACGCGAACTAAAAAGAAGAGAACAAGTTCACGAAGTAAATGTAAGTATATTATTATTACGCAGTAGTCGGAGACATACACACACGCAGCTATTCTAAAACATGTAAGATACATAGTGTATACCTACTCGATTGATTCGGACAAAAAAATTTCAATACACAAATTGGCGCTTAGGATCCTTTGACTTTGACTTTCAATAACATCTTTATAACTTAGGACACTCGCGTTATCAAGACGAATGGAAATACGTATGTATCGTCGAAATCAGTTAAGACCTAAGCCGTTTAGTATCAAAATCGGTTCATGAATCATCAAAATAGGTTAAACCGTTTAGTACTTACGAGGGAACATAGAATCAGACATACATACAGATGTACAGGTTAAACACATGACCCTGTTTCGCCGCAGTCGGGTAAAAAAGCAAATATCAACAACAGCATATAATTCAAACTTATTCACATGTTTTATCATAAAATACCAGGGATATTTTCATATTTAAATATGGTGGACTGTATATTTCAAGGGTTACAAAATGAAACTCCCGTAACCCGTTGCTTGATTCTTTCTTAGGTTTTTTTGAATTAACAAAACCTCGTTTTTTAAATTCAAATTAACATTATTATTAGATTAGATAAGCTACTGTGCATCTAAAATCTTTCAGATATGCTCCTGTGAGCCTAAATTCTTATTGTATTTTACAATAAAGAGCTAGATTCTGCCGTCACGTAGACTCGTCGTCCGTATCATACATCATCAATTTAAATATTATATTGTACATACATGAAGATAAATTTTATGTTGTATATAAATGTGTATATGTCGAAACCAATTTTAGTGATGTTTTGATTGTGGGTGAATTCAATAAAAAAATGATTAAAAAATGCAGTTATTTTATCTATACAGATAAATAAAATTGAAGTGTCTGCTTATAATATCCAAAAAAGGCTTTTTATTAAATACATATCAAATTATATACGGTACTTATAAGAAAAACACAATTTTTAACATTTTTGTCTGTCTGTCTGTTTATTCCGGCTAATCTCTGAAACGGCTAGACAGATTATGACAGGACTTTCAGTGACAGATAGCTGATGTTGTAAGGAGTAACTTGGCTACTTTTATTTGAGAAAAAAATTAGGGTTCCGTGTAAAAAAATTAAAGCCCATGAAATTGAGAATCCGCGTACCTACGGACGCACGCATAAAAAAAAGCGTAAAAAAATTAAGTTCCCATGAGCTCTTTAATTACTAGTATATATTTGTAATTACTACTACCTCAACTTATGAAGAAGACAAAGTTGTGTGCATGGACTCAAAGATACGAAACACAAAAAAAAGGATCAACGAAAATTTATTTTAAATTTAAATTAACAAATGTGTATCTAGAAACATTGGCATTTGATGATAAAAATGCAATAAATTATAAAATAAATAAACTGACGCAGAACCAAAAAAAAACCACATGATAATTGATAAATCATAACCCCTTTGTAACCCCTTTTTATGGTTCTGCGGTGAAATGCGGTGTGTGAACGAATATGGACAAATAGTTTTTAATATTTAAGAACAATATCAATCATATTTGTACAAGTATAATAGATAAAAAAATTGATTTTACTGGCTATCCCATGTTAAAATTTTATTTTATGTATTTTTGTCCGTCATTTATCTATGGTTAGTATGTCAAAATAAATTTAGCCTAGCTGATGTAAAGAAAAATATCATTTCTATAACACTGAAAGTTGAGACAAAGCCATGTAAAACCACATATGGAAGCTAGTTTAAATGTATAGCAATTTTAATATCGAAACATGTTTGAGATATTTATAATATCTAATAATTTTAACAAAGATATTATGATAAACCTATTGACCTGAAGATAAGATAATGATATTGATTTCAATAATATATGAATATTCTACTTGTAAAATTATTATTTCTGAGAAATACTTAAAAATTTAAAAGTAATCTGACTACTTTAGTCAATTGGAAAATTGTGCTTCAGAGGATGGAACATCAATTTTGTCCCATTATTTATAATTTACAATTGCTTATTCCTCTCTCAAAACAAAGTACCATTTATGACCCAATTTATTATTGTTATACTTTTTGATACCTGTATGATCTAGAGTTATGAGTTACTTACTTCATCTCCAAGTTCAACTTTGTGCATTTTTGCCATTTGCTGTGCAACTAGTTGGAATATTTTAGGTTCAGTCGCTGTGTCTGGATTTAGAGTAACACCAGGATAATACTCATATGAAAGCCCATTTTTAAAGACACCATAAATTTTTGGTGCCAATCCAACTTTGTTGAGTATGGTAATATTTCTATAAAAATAATAGGTGTTATTTTTAGCAAGCATTTAAACCTATAAAGAAATTTAAAATTGAAAAAGATACTTTTCTATAATATTTTATGAACAATTTCCACATATACAGTCTCGAAGTCTAAGTGCGGAAAACGAGTCCAATATACTATACTATACAGTCTCGAATTCAGTTTATATATTTGTAAATATTTTATATAAAAATATTTACAAAAGTGAAAAAAATCAATAAAACAAACATATTATCAAATACTTACCTCACTTCTGCATTTCTATCTATCAGCAAATCAGTTTTGTTTCCGTATATTCTAACAAGTACAATATTATCACCATCATCTTCTTCAGTATTTAATTGGCAGGCGACAAGTTTATTTGTAATGCCATCAGTAAATAGCTGTAACAATATTAAAATAATTGTTTACATAAGAAATGCTTAAGAAGATAATTTAAAAAATATATAAGGAACCTTGAATTTAATATTATTTGGAGGCCAGTTTGGTTTTATAGCTGATAAAATTTTGTATATTCCAGCATAAATATTATTCTCTTCAACTTCGACCGAAATAAAGTTATGACCAGCACGATCACAGATCCGAGACATTTTATTTATTCAATGAAAATGTACAACCACTGCAGAAAGGTTTAAGACTAAAGATCATCACGTTCGCCTCCACTATATATGTATATATCAACTACGGTTTACGACATAGTTTTAGTATTCATGATTGTGAGTTGCGATTGCGAATTCAATCGTTTAAGCACTAAATGTCACTTGGCACTTTATTTGAGAACACGGTTTATACTTTTTAATATTGTTTTCAATAAGTCCCACAAATATCAGAACCATTGATGAGTTTCTAATTTACAATTTTATTATAAATATTTTTGGTATAGATGATTACAGTAGTGTTTAAATGTGTAATTTATTATGTAGGCTTATTATTCATTCATGGTAAAGGAATAATTGTAATTTGTAGTAATAAATATTAATTTTGACTTGTGACAGTATGGTGACAGTGACGTCTTGTTGTTCATATTGACTAGTGACTACTGTTGAGTGTTGAGTAAAGATTAAAGATTAAAGAAAATAATGAAAGGGTGGATGGAGTACCTGGTTCGATGTTAGCCATTTAGCCCCGCGTAGGTTTTTATGTCGCGTTTGTGCACCAACACTTTTACAATTTACATCTACACTGGGTGATTTGCTAATTGTTTATTTGTAAGAATTAAGAATGTTCATTGCGTTTTGCACAGTAACTTTCAGTTTCATAATTTGCTAAAAACTTGATAGGGCTTGATTATTCAGCGTACATGTACGGCCGTAGGAGAATTTTTTTGAACTACCTCCAGGTATTAAGATATTGGGAACTTGGGAAGCCGGAAGTGACAGGTTATACGTTTAGTAATGTAAATGTGTACCATGGATGATTATGATGTGTACTTAACATACCGCCCCCCAAAGAGCGTCTTAGCTTTTTCATTTAAACGAACCTCTTTAAAATTTGCTGAAAGGTTCACGTAAACGAAAGAGTAAAAAGAGTTGCTTACTAAAACTAAAGATGACTAATTCCGCGCGAACAGTGCCGTCAGAACCCGGACATGTGCGAGCTTTCTTCCAGTGAAGCGGTGCAAGTTGGGATCTATAGAGTATGCAAGTACTCAGCTTGCTAATGCTTACGAGTGTAATTTGGCGCAAAAGCTGCCATCTTTATAGAAGACTTAAGTCAGACTGAGGCTTTCTGTATAGTAAGCCTCAGTAACAGCCCGGAGTTGAGAAGTTGGCGGTGTTTCACCCCTGCGCCTCGGAGAGCACGTAAAGCCGTAGGTCCTGCGCCTTAAATCTCACTGCCCGTGTCAAGTACTCATACCACCAGAATATGAGAGTGCTAGAAATAGAGAGTGCACTTGTATCTGCGCAAACACTTGTGCACTATAATATCTCCGGCGCAGTTGGCTAGTCTTAATGAGATTGGCCACCGTGACTGAAATTGGTCGGGAGTACATTTTTAATAAGAAGCTCCTAATTTTACATTAAACTCTAAGGCAGTTAAGGCATTTGTGTTTTCTTTTCTTCGTTAAAAAAAATAGTTAAAATGAGCAGAAACCGTCTCAAAAAACTTACATGAAGGATGGATCAGTTGTTTTGGTTGTCCAATGAAGTTCACTAGTGACCAAGGTAGACATTTGAGAGTAATTTATTTAAAGGGCTTATGTTATTAATGGGTAATAAAAAATTATGCACAACCACGTACCATCCTCAGAGCAACGAAGTAGTAGAACACTGACATAGATAATTGAAAACAAGCCTCTCTTGGGTAGACAAATTAGCAACAGTAGTGTTAGGATTACGCACAACAATTATGAATTAGATACAGGTGTCACCACAGTACAAATGTTGTGTGGCTAATGGCAGTAACATAAGCTACCAGGCGATTTCTTTGACGTCATGAGTCTTACGATAGTGACAATCCATACTAATATTGTGAAAGTGTGTTTGTTTGTTTGTCCTTCTTTCACGTCAAAACGGAGTGACGGATTGGCGTAATTTTTCATGTGGAGATAGTTGGAGCTTGGAGGGCTGGTGAGTGACAAAGGCTACTTTTTATCGCGGGAAATCATCTCACTTCCACGGGAAAACACGTCATAATACAATTCAAAAAAATATTTGTGATCAGAATTACTTGAAACTTGGTATTAATGCTCTTCAATACAATTAAAGAAATACGTATTTTAGCATTTTTCGAAATTCATCCCATAAGGGGGTAAAATAGGGGATGAAAGTTTGAATGAAACTACCTTTTTTAGAGGTTTTTTGTAGTTTTAGCGCGAGAAAAGCCGCGGGTTCTGCTAGTACGTTAATAAATTAAAAGACATTATCGAAAGTTACAAACCAGTCACTAAATTAACTCATCAAGTAAACATTTTGTGCACAAACTCTAAATAATTTCGAATATGTATTTTTAAGAAATAATGCTGTACGGAAGCTACTACAACCTCCGGACGACGGATCATACTGCGTCATCAGTAGGCATGATAAAGTATTTTGCATACAATTGCCCAATAGACAGTTAAAAGTCTCAATTGATCGCTTAAAACCAGCATATATGGCTGAAGAAGACGAGCGTAAACTTACAATAAAAGCGAAATTTGTTAAAAAGTGAGTAAAAAAGTCACATTTCAAACGAGCGAAACCAATAACTTAATTAACTATTCAACACGATGTAGAAATACAGGACGCATAAGCAAAAAGGCAAGTTGATATTTGTAACGCTGACATTGTATTTTGATTAGTTACATATATTTTTTTAATTTAGGACATCATCTATACATACAATAAATCAAAAACTCAGCAAAATCTGTACATGAAATATTTTTTATAAACGATGACTGTAACGTATAATATACACAATATAGACCCCATAACAATAGTGTAAACTATTTTTCACCTTTTCCAGGATGAAAGGTAACCTGTTGTTTGACCGGCAATATAAGGTATCAGCATGCCAAATTTTACTAAATTAGGTGCATAAGTTGTAGTGTACTAAGCTGTATACGTTACTATAGTTTTTAAACTATCCCACGGGAACTCTTTAATTTTGCAGGATGAAAAGTATATGAATAAATGACGGGAGTTCTGAGGTAACAAACATAAAATAAAAGAAATACAGCCGAATTGAGAACCTCCTCCTTTTTGAGGAAGTCGGTTGAAAACAAAACGGCAACGTCGCTTAGAATAACGTTAACAATACCCGAAATTATAACGTTAACACTATAATACGTGTAACGTTATAATTGGTATGTTACTAATTTAACGCTACCAAATCATAACGATATGGCAGGTATCCTTATATAACCCCCCTTCTTCGAAAATAACCCTTTTTTTTTTAACGTTGGGAAATGCATTTACGCACGAGGTGTGGGACTCACCGGCGTAATACAGCCAGTACTACCCACTAAAACCCAACAAAACCTTCCCCCGTCTTAATGGGGCGTCGCAGGATCGCTTACGCATTCAACTACGACGCCCCGACGGCAGGTCTGCCAAAGCAGACCACCACAACCATGGGGTTGCTCCACAGTCCACTCTGCTATCAGAGAAGTACCAGGAGCAACCCGCATGGTACACCGCCCCCCGAAGAGGGCCACCTCCCACCGCCCACCAAAGTGGGCAACCTCCCTGTGCGTTTCTTAGCTTCGCTACTACTACTGAGCCCCCCACCACGACAAGGTGAACGCACGTTGGGGGGGTTCGTACCCTAACCTAACCCTATCTGATTAGGTACGAGTATCTATTCTAAATGAAAACACCCGTTTAGTTTTTTTTTTTACATTTTAGTGCCTGGAAGTCGGTTTTTTTTAAGTTTTTATTATACGAACAAACATTAATGAATATTTAAAGACTACTAATAACAAGAAAAATTATAAATTTCGATTGAGAGGGCTATTTTTAGGGTACATTTTTGTTTAATTAAATAAAAAAAAAACAATTTACGAATAAACAACTATTTATGGCGAACAGTTGAGAACAAACGATATGTGAAAATAAAAATTCAAAAGTTAGAGAAATATACTGCGGTACCAGGTTTAGTGAGCCTAGATTTTGTCTGTGGGTACCGCGCTCCAAAGAAAATATACCTACGTATTTAGTATCTCTATAAACTACCTATATATTCATCATATCCATGTATGTGGTCGGATTATAATAGAGTACTCTGTAGTCTGTGGTACCTACTGAGTATTGATTTGGAATTTTGGTTCTGCTTATTGTTTAATCTGTGAGCGTAAGTTTTCCTTTTCACTTTTCCATAGACTACATATAAAAACACTTTTCGTAGTTCGTACTTCGTAGTACCTGTAACATTACGTAATTTGTAATACTATATATTCCTAATACTTTTCAGAAAATGGGAAAGCATTTTGGTGAATTAGCTAAAATTAGAGGATTGATAACCTACAAGTTATCACCTCATGAACAACGTGCGTATGCCGGAGCAATCTCTAATGGAATTCCCAATCTTTTCCGCAGATTTCGTGAAAATGTTTTCAGAGTAGCCCCACGTAAGTTTAGTCTTATTTACTGTGATCCAAAATCTTATATTATGCGTTTATAAATGTCATGAATTAAAGATTAATAATGTTGATATTTCGAAAAATATGACGATAATATATAAATATTTTAATTTTAAACCAATTATAAAATTATAGGTATATATATACACCTACAATTTTACATTTGTTTTAAAATTGAAGTATATTTTGAAATTGGAATAACCTAACAATTCTTTGAATAGAGAAGTGAAGTCGTCAGATCATAAAATTTGCCAAAATAAGATATAGACATGACATTTTGACTTCACTAACATGTATATCTCGTGTCAAGGATGAAACATGTGTCCGACTGCATAATACTATATTCCTTCGTCAACTTGTTTTCATCTTTTTAGTTAGCTTTTATGCAGTCTGGTTTTTTAATTTATAATATTTTTTTATAATCTAAATTTATATACCAAATAGAATATTTGGAACTAGGAAAGAAAATATTTTTTTGTTGCAGCTTTCATCATTGGATATTTAATCTATGAGGGTGTAGAAAGAGAACACCATAGACTTGGTCGCAAGAATCCTGCTGATTTCGAAAATGATCAGTAGTTATAAATTATGTATGTGTTAAATAGTTGTATAGTATTTAATTTAATAAAATTTGTTTCTATCAGGTAAATATTGTTTTGGTGTACCTATTACATTAGTGAGAATTATATATCACAAGAACTCAATTCCAGAAGCATAACCTATACCCCCAGACTAAAAGAAATAAGGATTTTATTAAAACATGAACTTAAATTTCTGTGTACATACACACAATGGTATTTGAACCATTGCCAGATTTCCTATTATAGTCTAAAAAATTTTAGTATTCTTTTATTTTAAATTAGTAAATAGATATAAATTTAAAAAATATCTAATTTACTACTTATTTACTCTTTTCATGTTAATTTTTAGTAATCAACACATATTTATCTAAACACTGCATACCTATTTGTGCTAGTCGAGATAGTGTATGGGTCGCGGCCTCTGGTGGTATGAGTGGTGTTTTAGGATAGGGGAGGTGATAGGGATATAAATATATGAAAAACTAGCAACTCACCCTCGCTTCGCTCGGGGTCGTCCCTAGGTTGTTTCCTCATATAAACTTTCATCCCCATTTTCACCCCTTTAAGCGATGATTTCCGGGATACAAAGTATCCTATGTCCTTCACAGGGTCTCAAACTATCTTCCGCTGCAGTTTAGTATATGGGACGCGATCCCTGGAGGAGTGGTGGTATTTTTGGATAGAAGAGGTGATAGGGAGTCCAAATATATAAAATTTGTTTTGAGGAAACGAAAGAGTCAAAAGTTATTAAGATATGCTTAGATTATTTATAAGAATAATTTAAGAAGACAAGTTAGTAGTTACAACATTTCCTTATATTATTATGACATAGTTAACTGTCATGTTGACACTTGGAAATGCCAAGATATCACTTGACACTTCCAAGTTTTTTTGTCATCCATGCTTCTAAGTGCCAAAATGATCTTCAAATAATGAGACAGATCTATCACCGAATTTTAAATTAACATAAATCACTAATGATAGCAGGGGTTCTGGGTTTGAAATAAAAAAAAGACCTAACGAGAAGCGGGAGCGAAGCGTAGCGTAGCTCTTAGCCTTCTCAACCTAAATTATCCACGTCGGACTGTCACTTAATCGAAAATAAATAGGTATAATACACTTATTTTAAAAAAAAATCTACTTACGTTAATAAACTGCATGAGTACAATTAAAACACTACGAACATTTTACACTATAGTCATACTATTAAAACAAAACACTAGAAACGAACGTATACGAAAATTACAAAAAGTAATAACTACTGGAAAATAGTATGAGAAAAACAAATATGAAAAAGAGCAAAAAGTATGAAAACTAAACACGTTTAAAGAGTACATTGTATTCACAAACACTTTCGAACTTCGCGGTATTTTGAGACTACCCGCCAAAAATACTGAACAGTATTCACAGATAATAAAATCAAGTAATGGTTTAAAAAAATTGCTACATGTAAATTAATGATATGACTCAATATTTTACATAAATCAAATAAAAATTCGTAAATGTATGCATGAATTGAAAATAACATATTTCTATTTTAAAATCTTAATAATCTGACGACAATTTTCACTTTTATTAAGTATAACTCTTAACTATTTAATTATTAAGCGATAAATGATAATCTGTTATGTCCTGAAAGCAGTTTATAAAACATTAAATGACAGTTTTGTCAAATTTTAAACTTATTTTGTTTAGCTTATTGTTTTTATTGAAATTATCAAAATATTAATACAATTAATCCTTATTTGTTATGAAAATATAGATTTTACACAAAAAAGGATGTTTATTATTCGTTAAAGGTATGTTTATCTTTTATAATGACTTGTTTAAGTATAGAAATGTATGGAAATGTTCTAACTTTAAGTTTACATAAATTTTGACTCCTTCGTTTCCTTAAAATATCTTTTATATATTTGAACTCCCATAACCTCCCCTATCCAAAAATACCACCCACTTCTCCAGGGGTCGCGTCCCATATACTAAACTTGTGCCCTATCTTCTTATCAAATTATACCTAAATCGGTTCAGTAGAACCAGACATTACCCACTACAACGTCACAAACTCAGAAGCTTTACCTCTTTATAATGTTAGTATAGATATTTTGAGGAAATGAAGGAGTTATAAGTTACGGAGACGTTACAATCACAAACTAGAAATCCTGCGCATGTTACAATATTTACGTAGTCCATACAATACGCAGAACATTTTTTTTTTCTTTATGGTGCGTTATCAGACGTAATTCATTCTGCCAGTGTCACGTTTTGTGAGGAAGACACGAATGAGATTTAGTGGTAATTTTGCTTTAATGTGAAATAAAAAGTATAAATGAATGATCGGTCTACAGGAGTAACCCACAACAAAATTAAGAATAGAAAGATCGAACACTTTATTATTATTATTCTTTTATTTAGTGGCTTCCAGGAGTGCCAATTGGGCGCAAAATACTTCGCCAATGTCGCGTAGAATGGAGAAAACACGTTATATTAAGAATGACTGGTAAAAGAGAGATAAAAAATCGAACACTTTTACTCAATACAATATTATGACATTGCTATCATTTTGACACTTACCTGATAAAATCTGACCCTAGTATATACCAATGTACTCTGTGAATCTGACGACCAACACCTGTAACATGTAAGCGCTTGGCGAGTCTCGACAAGCGTCCACAAATACAAGTGTGTGAACAGTGAAGGGGTGGTTTGTCTGGGCTTGCGTGCGCCAGCTCATTAAGTCTATTTCAATAATATTTTCCAAAAAATATTTAATGTACAGATTCAGTTTAGTTACAATTTTATTATACGCATACTTTAAAATATGTCAAGCCAAACGCATAGTCGAAACAAAGTTTGTGGTTACATCCATCTTCCATAGACACGGAGACATTGTCGACATCTAAGGTTATTTCTTACAATAAAATAATCATTTAACTTTATGGTTCTATCTATATATTTGAATTCTGATTTGATTGACATTTCGCTGCTTGTCAAATTTAGCTACGTCAACAATTTTTGTAGAAGTTTGTTTAACTATTATTATACAGAAACTCAAAGCATATAATAGATAAAAGTTCTGGTTATTAAACAGTGTTGTTTTATTAGGTTATTTTAAAATATTTTGACAGGTAAATTTACCAAAACAAGTTTTAAAAAAATGAATTAAGTATACGTTTTTTATGTATAACTTCTTTACTTATTACTACGACTACTGTTTGTTTTGACTCTTTTATATATTTTTGCGGCTAGAACGAGATTTTTTGAAGTTAGTAGTTAATATGACGTCAACAGATGATATCAATCTCCAGGAGAAACAGAAGTCTACTGAAGAAAATCTAAACGAAGACGAGCCAGCAACTGCAGAAACCCAACTTAATTCAGAAAACATGGATGAAGATATTAAAAAAAATCAAAATTACTCTCCTGTTATGAGAAACCATTATGGTTTGTATTTTTAAGTTTATCTTTGAAATAATCATAATTTAAAGTATTTTTTTATCGGCAATTTGCAGGAAATAAATCAATGATCAAATCAATAACAAATAAAGATAATTTATATCCCTGATTAAAAAAAATCATGTATAATTCAAGTCTTAGATTCATTCATGACTCATTCACTATTTATCAGTTTTAGTGAAACAAGTACAAATTATTTTAATTTTAGATAAGATTCATTTCAGTACTTTTTTAATTAACATAACAACAATGATAATATATATTATTTTTTTCACAAAATATATTCATTTTATTTATAGGCTACATAAAATATGTAAGTTTAGCTATATTAACAATTCAAAATGCAGCTCTTGGTTTAAGCATGAGATATGCTCGCACTAGAGAAGTTGAAATGTTCGCTTCAACTGCAGGTAAATTTAAAGCATTTAAATCACTATGATTTATATTGGTTTAATCAGTTTTTATTATGAAAATAGCAATAGAAATGTAAAATCCTTTTTGTTTATTTCAGCGGTTCTTATGGCAGAGGTGTTAAAATTAGCAATTTGTATAGTTTTAGTAATGCAAGAATCTAGAAGTTTAAAAAAAGGAGCTCTAACTATGTATTCTACAGTCATTCTAAATATCAAGGATACACTTCGTGTTTGTGTGCCCTCTTTCTTATATGTAATACAGAATAATTTACTTTATGTCTCAGCATCAAATCTAGATGCTGCTACTTATCAGGTACATGTACTAAAATACTAACAATATATAATCATTATTAATGTTTTCATAAAGTTCAAAAAATTATATTTATGCTAGCTCAATTTAAATTTACTATATTTTAATTTTTGGTATTTATTACTTGGTATATCATTAGGATCATAGGGTTAGTTACACTATTTTCCAAATACAAAGGTTGATTAATAAAGGTTTTCGCATTACCAAACTGTGATATATTCAATTTATTAATAATTTATAAAATGTGCACAATTATTTGCAAAAGAATCTGTAGTAGTACAAGGATAGTGTTTATGAATACCTGTCTATACTTTTTATAATCTTTAAAAATCTCACTTAAAATTAATTGTCTAAGGAATTATGAACATTTCTGAATGCATTTTTTAAAATTCTGTATGAATAATAATTTACTGCAACCTTGTCACTAATGTTTCAGGTCACATATCAATTAAAGTTATTGACAACTGCATTTTTTGCTGTAATAGTTTTAAAGAGGAAATTAAAAAAATGGCAATGGGGAGCTTTGGCTTTATTAGTGGCCGGTATTGCGCTAGTGCAACTGTCCTCTACAGAAAAAGCAAAAGTTTCAACAAATTTACCACAGCAGTCAAAGATACTAGGCTTTGGAGCTGCATTGGCAGCATGTTTCATATCTGGCTTTGCAGGCATATACTTTGAAAAAGTTCTAAAGGAATCAGATATTTCTGTAAGTATTGCAGTTCCAATATTATAAACATATTTTTAATAAATATTTCACACACATTTTTTCTTATAGTATGTATTCAGTGGTTTTTCGACCCACTGGGCACAGGCCTCCCTTCAATAATAGGCCATAATCCATCACCCTGGCCAAGTGCGGGTTGGTGAACTTCACATGTTTTACGAAACTTGCTAGATTCACTTAGACATGCAGATTTCCTCGCAATGTTTTCCTTCACCATAAGAAAAGTCTAATCATGTATGAAATCAATTGCACATGAAAATATCACAGGTGCGTGACCTGGGATTTGAATCCACTTCACTTGGTTTCCCACACAAGTGCCTTACCACTAGGCTACCACTGCGTATAGTATAATAAAATAATTTGTAAAAAATATATTTTCCAGGTGTGGATGAGGAATGTTCAACTAAGCTTAGCATCTCTTCCATTTGGTATAGCAACACATTTAATAAACTATGGAACCATGGCTGATTTGCTTAAAGGTTTTGATGGGTTTGTGTGGTATCTAGTAGTATTGCAAGCAGCTGGAGGACTCATAGTGGCTGTGGTCGTGAAATATGCTGATAATATTCTAAAGGGATTTGCAACATCTGTAGCAATTGTTATATCATGTATAGCTTCCATTTACATATTTGACTTTATCTTGACTGTACAATTTGCTATAGGTGCCTTGTTGGTCATAGGATCAATCTTTTTATATGGTTATGTACCAAAAAAAAGAACAGAAACTAGAACGTCTTTGAGTGTATGATTGATAAATGCAGAACAACTTGATTCTAAAAAAAAGTTTCCTTAAAATTACCGTTATGTATTATTTATGAGATTCTAAAATATTTAAGAGTCAAATTTCGAAGTAGCTATTTTTAATGTTAAATATAAATAGATACTGAAGTAAGTCTAACTTTGGAATGTCTAAATTATACTTTCTTAGATTTACGCGAATGTTTGACATTGTTAAATAAAACTATCTTTTCGGATTATTTCGCGGATTTATTTTGATTTTTGGTTTCGAAACGTCGGGAACCAAAAATCAAAATAAATCCGCGAAATAATCCGAAAAGATAGTTTTATTTAATAATGTCTAAATTGTTAATAAATGTTGGTTTTAATAACTATGTACTGTACTAGGTACTGTATGGTTCTGTACTAGGTACTGTATAGTACTACAAGTAACCTTTAGTATGGGGTTTTAATAATAATAGTTATTAAGTATACAATTAATAGCACTGCGTGACCTACACTCGCACTTTTGTGGTGCTAATCCGTGACTTGGAAGATCATTTTAGTAAGATTTTCTGAATCATAAATTTATAATCAATTGTTTTGTAGTCTGAATTATTATTCTTAAATGATGAAAGTTGTTTTTATCTGTCTAGTCTTTCTTAGTTGATTTTTTTTAATTGTTTTTGTACTATCTACCGCCATTCTATATACTTTATTCTATTCATTATTATTCTAAAGCTTTTCAACATATGCTTCTTCCACAGTAAAATGTTTTTTGTGATAAACTACTTGATGAAACTAATTTTAACAATTCATTTTTTTTAAATTAATAATAAATATTAAGATTTCTGTGTTCGTACCTACAATTAGTTTAATGTTTCACAATCTTCCAAATAGTTTATTTCAGATCTTTGTAGAAAGAATTCAGCAGATTTAGGTCACGCGAGCCATAAAATTATATACGATAATCTAGACCTAAGTAAATATGTATTTACTCATTTATAATAATATGTATATTAATGTATATAGGCACTTAAGTAATGCACGGAGTTTAGCACCCCTGCTAGCTCGGGTGCTAGTTCCCGACGTGCAAAAACAGGCTACTAAAGCTATGTAACATGTAGCTAATGTACTATTATTTCTATCAGTTTCTTCGCCGATTTTGGTTTATATTAGTTTTTAACCAGTATTAATAAACAATACCTTTGTGTAGAAACAAGAACAACCCTATAGAAATTTCGAAAACCATGGTATATATGCATCGTACGCTGCGTAATTAATTTTTTTAACTCGTAGGTACGTTAATTTCAAGGTCGATCGATTCGGTTTAATTTTATTAATACTGGCAGCATGGGCAGCTGGGGTTAGATTTTACGTTGATCTATCCTTCCTCTTCCCTAAGGGGCTAAATAAAATAATACTTTGTATGTCTGAAGCAAGAGTCTACGTTCATTTATTGCCTTACAAAAAACAGACAGGCATCCATCTGTTCTCTTTGATCTTTCTGTTCGGGAGTCATGACTCCTGTTTGTGTTAGTGCTCGATTGTTTCGAAACGTTTATCAGAACGCATATTTATTTGTTTTCTTGTGCAATGTTTCCCTATGGACTATTACACCGAACAGGTTGTACACCTGTTGAAATTACTTGTGCGTTTTGAATTTTCGATAGGCTAAAGTTTAATGATACGTTCCTATTAGATTACAGTACCTAAAAGTACTTCAGAAATGGCATAAACTATATACAAACAACACTATAATAAAGTGAAAGAATTGTAACGCTTGCAGAACGGTCGCATAGGTAAATTCTGAACACTAAAGTTTAAACGCGTGTGACTACAAAATATAGAGGCTGTTATTAAAACGGCGGCATTCCCTCAAGATCCAAGGAGTGCAACTTCTTTACATCAAAGCGATTATATGTATGACATGCATTAAACTGAATCTGTGTAAACTTTTTAAATAAAGTGCACTATGGTGAGACGTCCGGTCGTGCAGTCACTGGACCGGATGGGCCGATATATGGCCGTACTAACAATAAGTTCAATCATTTTTTTTAAATTAAAGCTAACAACCAATTCAGGCGCACTATAGGTGTGTAAAGACTATGTATTCACAAATAATATATACTGTATAGTATTATTTGTGAATACTGGTGTTAAGTTCGTTCTTTAAATTTAGACTAGTTATACTGCAATTAATTACAATTTAAGTTTTTTATTATTCATGATATATACTCTTTTTGCCTACTTATCGAAATATACTTAATGCAAAGTTATTTAAAAAACCACTAATGAGCACAAAGCTGTGCCATACTCATCATTTTATGTTATCAATTTAAAATTATTATTTTGTAAAAAGAAAAATTGTTTTGTGTGTAAATTCCATTTGCCAGTAAGTATGTACTTATACTAGAATAAGAGAAATACTCTGTGTAGTATGTATTTATATGATCTTAAAATAATTTTATACCTCAAGAGACTTTTTTTACTATAATCTAATTTTACAAAATAATTATATTTTCTATTATCATTAAATTTTATAAAACTGTGAGTTTGTTTTTACTTTTAGAGGCCTTAAAGCTGATTTTTTTTTGACGATTACACCTCTAGTGGCTGTTTCCGAAACTAAAATAAGTTGTTTTCAACACAACCATATTTAGATAACAGTAACACTTTACAGTGTGCATAGTAGGCATGGAAATGATTGCTACTTTTAAATCATTATCATATGATAAAATTACGTATATTTTTTTTTATCACGTGATTTCACCTGGCTTCTACTTTTCACAGGCAATGATTTTTCATTTCGACGGTCTGGTGTCACACTTTATATTATTTGCTATTAAAATGAAGTATGAAATGTCACCAATAGCGCTACTGATATGATATGGAGCAGAGATATAGATCTGACGTAGTTGCATACGTACATGGTGCTATGAATGAACCTATTTTCAAACAATGAACTTTCCCTTATACTTCTACAGGCTTGGGATTGACAATGTAAAATTAAATGAATTTTAAATATATCATAGTACTCACACGGTAAAATTGTATTAAGCTAAGTTCCATAATTACATTGGCGTATTTAAAAGTTCATTGTTTTTATGTACAATAAGAATTTTTATATAAGAAATTATACACTTTTTTTGTTTTTCTTAATTTTTTTAATTGTTTATAATCATTTTTTTTTGCTTTTTGCTTTTTGATTTTTTTGATGATTGATTTTTTTAATGAGATATCTATATACAATACTCTTCATTGCTTTTTAAAAATACAAGTTCCGCTGTTCGTTTTCTGCTCAATCGTGCTCTTTTTTGGGTTGCAAAATTTCCCGCTTTTGAAAATACTCTCTCACACTCCACTGATGTCACCACGATGTGACAGTGCTCATGAAATATTTCCGCCAAATTGGGGTATATAAAGGAGTGGGATTTCCACCAAGCTAATGGCGAAGAATCGCGCGGAATTACTGGTTCATTAATAAACATTTCTAGCTCGTTCTCAGCGCTGGTGGCTATGTCGTCGACTGAAGGCGTCATTGCAGCAATGGTTTTGTCTATTTTGCCCCATATAGATATTGTTTCAATATCTTGAGAGGTTGAGGCAGCTCTTGGTGGAATATATGAGATCGTTTCAACAGCAGGAGTACCACGTTTTTTTCTAATTTTTATTTTCAATAGGTCCAAGATGTGCTCCTTAATCAAATTAACACGCGTTATGCGCTGACTCGTCGTCTCTAAAGTAGGCTCCACTTCAGCAGATGCATTATCAAGGAATGCATGAATCTTAAACCGCGGATCCAGAAATGTGCATAAACCTAGTAGCATATTATCTTCTATAACATGTCGAGGGAAGTTAATTTCTAATCCTTCCTCTAATTTAAGAAGGAAGGTTTTTGCTACACCATAAATTGGTTTAGTTTTCATTATTGACATTACGTTTTTTAAGCCATCTACAATAACTATAGCAAGACTTGCAGTAAGGTAGTGGGTGCTACTCATGATTTGTGTAATTTCCTCAAATGGCTTCAAAATTATGCACACTTGTCTTAGTGTTTCCCACATTTCAACTGTTATAATGGGTAAATCAGATCTCAAATTTGGTAAAACGGCCTGTAACGCCCCCTGCAATTTTAAAAATCTCTCCAGCATATAATAAACAGAGTTCCATCTTGTTGGAACGGATTGAATAAGTCGCAGTGCTACAGTTCTATCTATTTGATATTTCGCAAGTGACTCTGTCGCTAAATTACTTTTTTTAAAATGACCTACAATTTTTTTTACTTTTTCTAGGATAAAGTCTAATAGTACTATTGCCTTTTCTATTATGAGGTTTAATTTATGTAGGAAACAACCGAAAATTGGCCACCCCGTTTTTCCTATTGCGCTGGTGATGTTCGCGGTATTATCCGAAACTGCAAGGGTAATTTTTTCAACTATATTCCATTCTATAGCTATATTTTTCAAAGCCTCTGCTAAAGCGTCAGCGGTATGTGAGCCACTGAAGTGTTCACAGTGCAGTAAAACCGTTTTCATTTCAAAGTCAATAAGGAAATGAGCTGTAACAGCTAAATATGCGTCCATGTCCTGAGATGTCCAGCAGTCCGTAGTGAGACAGACTTTTTTAGCCTTTTGGACTAATTCCATCATTTGATTTTTACAATCTAAATATCGGCCTGGTATTAAGGTTTTGGATATTAATTTTCTATTAGGCAACTCGTAACTTGGATTCAAAGCTTCCACGAAACTTTTGAAACCATTATCTTCGACTACTGAAAATGGTTGATAGTCCTGAGTAATTATTCGAAGTAATTTTTTATCAATATTTTTTTTTTGTTTTTCGTCCATTTTCCGTGGCACGTACGCGGTTGTTTGTTGTTGCCTGCGGTACTTCGATTTAAATGTTCGACCTGGTGGTACTATTTGCATAACCGCTGGGTGAACTGCCTGTTGTTGCGAAGTGTTCGAGCTTTCTGCTTCCTGTTTAAAAATCGATTGTTGACGATTTTCTGTCGTACGGGTCGTTTCGGTTTGATAGGAATTTAAAAAGTTTTGATACGCACTTATATGTTTATGTTTCAAATGTTTTTTTAAATTAGTAATAGTAGTTTTATATGAATATTCTTTTTTACACAATAAACACTTCGCCGTACTCTTTCCTGGGATTTTTTCATAATGATTCCAAATGGATGCATTCATTGTTCGTTATTAAAAATTCACTAATAAGAACTAAATTGGTATATTTACACTAACTACTATCTATATTTATTTATACCTAATTATAACGAAAACAGAAAACTTAACTAAATTGTTATATTTACACTAACTAGTAACAACTATATATATTTATTTAAATATAATTACAACGAAAACACAAAACTTAAGTAAATTGGTATATTAAATATTTACACTATTACAATGTATGAATTAATGTAGTATCGCAATTCACATTTCACATCTATCTAATGATAAATCATTTAGCACGACAAGTAAAATAATATCATTACTGTCAACTATTGTTACTTTCATATTTCATTTCATTTCGTGATTTGTGATAAAGTGTGACCTGTTACAAATTCAAATTAATAAGGAAATCGAAACTTTATGTTTTAGGACTTAAGGTTTATTTTAATACTATATTTTATATTTTTCTTTATGGTTATAAATATAATAATGGCAACACTAAATATAGATTACTAATTAATATTTTTAAAATTGTAATAATTATAAAAATAATAGCAAAAATTAAATAAATAATTTTCCATATTCAATTATAATTAAAATTATAAAAATGTTTAAAGTTAAAAAATATTGTTATGTAATTGGTGCAATTTTCATTTTGTTAATTGTGGGTAGGCTGTCTGTAACAACTATACCTTCAAGACATGTAACAAATTAGTCGCTCCCGTGACCATGGATGCTGTAAAGCATTCGAAACGTCGGGAACCAAAAAAAAATCCGCGAAATAATCGGAAAAGATAGTTTTATTTAATAATGTCAAACATTCGCGTAAATCTAAGAAAGTATTATTTATTTATTTATATTATTACTAGCAGAACCCGCGGCTTTGCTCGCGCTAAAACTCCAAAAAAACACTAAAAAGGTAGGTTTCATACAAATTTTCATCCGCTATTTTACCCCCTTACGGGATAAATTTCGAAGAATGCTAAAACATATATTTGTTTAATTATGTTGAAGAGCGTTAATACCAAGTTTCAAGTCAAGTCATAAATATTCTTTTTGGGTTGTAATATAACGTGTTTCCCCGTGGTAATGAGATAATCTTTCGCGGTAAAAAGTAGTCTATAATCTATACCACTCTCCAGCCCTCTAACTATTAACTATCTCCATCCAAGAAATTACCCCAGTCCGTTACTCCGTTTTGACGTGAAAGAAGGACAAACAAACAAACATACTTTCACATTTATAATATTAGTATGGATATTATAACGCTGTCATTCGGTTGAAACGCTATGACGGGAGTACGGACGACAGCGATTAAGTTAAATACTATGGCATCTTATTCGGTTGTAAATTGTAATAGGAGCGATTTTGCAACATGAATGTATAGTCTGAAGTGCTGACGACTGTACAAAACATGAACACAACGAACGAATCGCCGCGTTTGTGTAAGGTCAATCGCGTACTCGCTTGATTCGTTCATTTACCACGCAAATCCAATTCGAGTCAGAGAGAATTCAACTCGAGTTAACTCGAGTTGACACATCTTTACATTTCATGCCTACTCGCTCGCTCTCTAATTAGCAATAACGAGTGACGACGATTTAATTCTACAATGAAATCCGAATACGATGTGTGACTTCACCAAGCTGTGATTTGTAGCAGTCACTGTGAGTTTAAGTAGCAGGTGTGACGTATGATAACGCATTTCATATAATTTTTCACTTGCTCCTCATGAAATGTTCCATGCCTAGTGCATAGTGCGTTTTTTAACCTACTTGATCACGTTAATATAAATGTCAAATAAAATGGAAGTAAAACGCGCCCTCTGGTGATAAAAATAGAACACTTTCTCTTACGTTCAGGGCCAATTTCACATGATTTTTAGAAATCGGTAATTAACTAATGAATTGTTACGTCTACTCGGCTCATCTATGCAGGCAATAGGTACAACGAATTTTCCTTTTTGACGTTTAGCAGGTCGATGATTTTCTCCAGCGTGCATTTTATTTTTATTAATTACTTTATAATTAAGCAATTGATAAAAGTATTTTATTGTTTCACAGAATGTTTACAAAAACAATGTTTAATCTATACATATAATAAAATTCTGAGTTCAATGTGTACATTAAATATTTTTTGGAAAATCTTATTGAATTAGTCATTATTATCGATAGAGGTTAAATCTATAGTTTTTAGAATTTTTGTGTCTGTGACCGCATCACGAAAAAACTACAGGACATTTTGATAAAATTTGGTATGATGGTTATTCGGGTCAACATATAGGATACTTTTTACAGTCAGGAAAATATATCATCTGTGTATGTTAAAACATATTTAATAGAATTACTTATCACATATAAAAATGTAACCGAAGGCGATGATAGTCTTTTAAAATATATACCAATATGTTAAAAGAAACTTATCAATCTTATATTTATAAAAACACTTATGGCTATGTGATGTGAGCATTATGTTACGAATTAGTAGGATAATTAACGAATTGATAGCAAATTAAGGAACACTTACTAACCTTAACAGCCTATTACACAGCAGTTAATACTTTTATAAAAAAAAACATCAATAGCCACATTACACATATACATTGATAAGTTAATAAAAGTTTTAAAAATATACAATAAAATTTGTAAGAAATAAAAACAAAACACTTCTATTTACTAACTCTTTATAACTATGACTACAACAAGAGAAATCAATATGAATTGATAATCTTCCGTTTTCTCATTTGTTCCATCCATTTATCTAGTTGTTCCTGAGGTGTTAGTGGATTTAGTTTATAATAATCTTTTGGTGGTTTTCCTTCTTCTAAACGGACAAAATAATGACTGTACTGATATCTTACTTCTCCCATCCTCCCTCTCGCATGCCTTCTTATTCCTTTGATTGTCATACCCTTTCCGGAAAAAGACTCAGCTGAAATGTAAGATATTTATATTATATATCTATAAATTATAAAAATGTGATTATTACCAAATATAAATGTGCAATATAGTTACCAATCCAAAGGTTGCTTTTAAATTCAACATTATGTCGAGTGACTGCCAAGTTTTGAGCTTCAAGTATCGCTTCTTTAACAAAAACTGCACCTTTTTTATTTATGAAACTAAGTTGTTTTACAGCTTCATCCACTGTCATCCCTCTTACAAAACAAGCAATATACCATAATTTTTCAGGGCTGTACTTAATATTTGTCTTTTGGTGACAAATAAACTAAAATAAATAATCAATATAAAATTTGTCTATGTCACATCGGCAAAGTGAACTGGATCAAACAAGTACAAAGCCATAAAATAAAAAAAAACATCTACTGAATAATAATATAAAAATTGAGAATATACATATAAGATTATCAGTGTAACACAAAGACCATATTTTTTTACTTACAGCAGGTCTAGGTTCTTCTTCAATTCCTTGGGGTGGATATATTTTTTTGTTATTACTAATAAAGGTTTTAGGTAAGTTTTGTTTGGCCCATGCTAACTCCGGTCCAGTAGTGTGTAGGTTATTCCTTATTATGCTGGCACTTGATTGGAATAAATTCTTGAATAGCAAATTCATGATTGTATAATAATTAAAATATATCGACAAACATATTATTTCAGATTTTTACTTTAATAATTTCTGTGTAATTATTACAATCTCTATATTAATCACACAAGCACGAAACTTTTATTTGTCATCCATGCACGAAACACAGATTAAAATATTTTTATTGTAATGTAGCATGGTGCAGGTCGCAGGGTGACATTAATCAAACCGTTCCTTTTCACATAGGCATAATATGAACTTTCAGATAACAGTATGATTTGCAAAAAACATGGCGTAATATTTCTGACTAATCTGATTATTTATTATGAGCATACGGTACTAAACCATACTAAGTTGTAACCACTAACTATATAGAGATACTCCTTATGTTCTAGTTACTGTAGTAACTACTAACTAGTAACTAGTATAAAATAAATTTAATGTACTATGCATGTAACGTAACATGATACCATTTAGTGATGGGATATTACTGCCGCAATGGATAGTCGATATTCATTTTATGGGAAGTACATTTTGTACGTTTTTTTTTTAATTTTGTTTTAACACAACTATTTAACAACAAAAAAGTTAAGTTTCCCGGGACAAACCTTAGGAACGAAGTTCCTTTCGCTGTCTGCCCTTGTCTCATAAATTAGATCATATAAATTGTTACGAGTGCTAATGGGTACCATGCACATCAAGCAACATACATATTTGTACATACGGTAAATATCATCAAAGAAAGGTCTATACAGAGTGCACAGGAATTTCTCAGGGTTACATACTCTATGAGATTTCTTACAATATACACGAGGTGATCTTAGTACATAATAAAAAGTGTCGTGACGGTCGAACTATTAGGTACACTTTTTTCTTTCAGAAAAGGAAAAGAATAAATTACGTAACAACCTTCTACGTAAGTGTTATAAAACTAACTCGTAACTGATGCAGATTACGAAATGAATCTCGAGAGAGTGTTGACATTAAATGTTTTTTGAATTGATAATAAAACCATGACATTGGTTTTAACGATTTTGTTTCTTCTATATAAATCTTTGTCGATTGAACGTTGTCACTTTTGAATTCTTATCGACAAGTACGTTCCTAATATTATCTTCCTATCGACCACTGAGTGCTGCATGATGATGCCATTAAAAATACCTAGACGTTTTTTTCGTCAACTATGCACAATATTTCCGATTCATTTTTTTAAATAAGGTTTAGGATCACTTACTGAGTATAAAATCGCAAAATGCTACCAGATTCCGGTGGAGCTTCAGGCGCCATCTTGAAAAAACGTATTTGGCCGATATCTCTGAAACTATGCACTTTAGGGCAAAAGTCATTAAGACCATTTTTGTAGGGAATAAAATTTCGCATCTTTTGTTTCCGGTAATTTTTTTAAGCTACCGTTTACGATTTATGGCCCATTTAAGAGGATTGTGAACCTGTAAATTTTCATACAAAAAGCGATAACGTTTTTCCCCCCTTAAACATAGTCTAATTTTCATAATTTTTGGAAATGTTGTAGATATAATCAAAATCTAGGTCCGTACGTTTTTATTTTTTTGAAATATTGCGTACGACAGAAGTTATTAGCATCTAAATATCTATATTTTTGACCAAAAAACTTCATCCAGCGTTTTTATTTTTTTAAATTAAACTAAACTGAATTACAAAAAAAGGAAAACGTACAGACCTAGATTAAGGTGTACTGAATCTAATGAGACCAAAATCGTCTCATTTCGTTAATGTTTAGGGGGGTGAAAACGTTATCGCCCGAAACAATATTTCAAAAAGGAAATGTAGGTAATTGAGTCTAAGACTTGCAACTCTCTCTATCGCACCATACGGGTCGGGGGCAGGGGCATATTTTAGACTGTAGTGATGTTGAAGGTGCTATCGATATTATTATCTCCTAGGGAGGAGAAGGTAATATCGATATATCGATCGATACTGAAAGGATTCAATCCAAAGTTTAGAATTTTATTATACTCGTATGTATAGATTGTAACTAAGCCGTATCTGTACATTAAATATTTTTTGGAAAATATTATTGAAATAAACATTATTATCGATACAGAGGCCGAATCTATAGTTTTTTGAATTTTTGTCTGTCTGTCTGTATGTCTGTCTGTCTGTTACCACGTCACAGAAAAACCACTGGAGAGATTTTGATGAAATTTGGTGTGGTGGTAGCTGGTGGTGGTATCCGGATCAACATATAGGATTATCGCGGGAAAATATCTCATTTCTGAGAAAAAATACAAAACTGCAATGTACGAATAATTTGTTTTTGGTCATATGAACGCGGGCGGAGCCGCGGGCAATGCTAGCTAAACATAAAAAGTTTCAATTGCATAGCTCTTTTACATTAGATTTTATTGATATCTAAAAAACTCCGATTTCGTCACTGACTCACTGATGATCATCAAAACTCTTAGGGTACTTCCTGAAGTCCTAGAAAGCTAAAATTTGGTATGTATACTAGTATTATAGTCCAATCGGAATCTGACAACAATATATTGAAAACCTGAAGTTTTATAATTTTCAAATGTTAGCAGGTATATAAGGATTAGAAATTCGTAAAATGCCCCATCTGTCCAGCTACACTCGAGAAATGGGAGACCGCAAAGCGTTGAAAAATAGTTTTTTTCAATTTCCGGCTCACTGTGACGTTCTATCGAAAAATATTTTCTACAAATGTAAAAGGTCTAGTAAAAATCTACAACTTTGATAAATAACACTTTCTACGATAACCTCAAAGTTTTCGAGATATTTGTTTGTATAAGTTTAAATGAGTAAGGGTCTTCCTACACCCCTCCACCCCTCGCCCTCCACCGGTCACGCGCTTTCTTTTGCTAATTGCTGGACTACTACCGTTTAGAAGGAGCAATAAAAATACTTTTATTTTTGTAAAATTTATATTTTTAATTTTATATTCGTTATAATTTATAATATTCGTTATAATTTTAAAAAAATATTACGAATAGCATATGTATATTTATAAATATACACATACTATTCGTTATAATTTTTTCGAATTTATCGATATTTTATTAGTTTTTGCAGTTAATTTTATTGATTTTTCTGAAAAAAATGATTTTAGGACAATTACAAAAAGAAATGAAATTCATTTGTAATCTAATCTTGTTTATTCATTAGTTAAAAATATATTTTAAAAAATTAAGTTGATATATTTTATAAAATTTAGTCATAGATTTGTTAAAAAATCGTAAATCATCATCATTCATGATCAGGTCATTTTATGAATTTCTATTCCTTATATACCTGCTAACATTTTAAAATCATAAAACTTCAGGTTTGCAATAAATAAATTATTTTAAAAATAAAAGGATTCCGATGGGTCTATTAGTACATAAACAACAAAAAATTCTAAAACTTTCAACTTTTGGAACGAGCTTTTTGTAATTGATCTAAATCACATATTTATTTTTCTATGATTTTTTGAAGTCATCAATCTAAACAAGTCAAATTTTAAATGATATTCGCCACAAAATTGTAATTTAGAGTTATTTCAGTTCCTTTATGAATAAAGGTGCGATGTAACTTGTAGGGAATGTATATTGTACGCAAACCGTAGATATTAGATAAACTTTGAAATTGCTCTTGCGCCGAGTCGCGCCGCCCCCGCCCCCGCCCCCCGCAAGCGCCCGCGCGTCACCGGCTGCTGCTATCATAGTGTGTGTGAGAATTTGCGTATGTTGTATTTGTGTTGTTCACTGCCGGGGGGATGCAAAGCGGTATGAAACAGATAGCATTTTTAAAAATACCTACTCTCGCCGCGTATCGGCACTTCACAATCCTCTTAATGAACCGGTTTTTCTATCTCGACCGATAACTCTTAAAATATTGATTTAATCAATAAAATGCATGTATCCATTTTTAAAGATCCATTTATTCTCTATAACTTTTGTTTAAAACTTTTTTTTCTAATGTCCAGACTTTTCAGCTATAGGACGTTCAATGTTGGACCATCGGGCCGCAAGGTCGAAAATTTCAAGGTATGCATAGTCTAATGGTAAAAAATTAAGAAATAAATAAAAAAAATATCCTGATTGTATTTCTGTAAGCTGCTAGTCTTACTATATAAATGCGAAAGTTTGGATTGTTTGTTACTCAATCACACTAGAATGGCTGAACGGATCTGGATAAAATTTGGCGCAGTGATAGATTATAGTCTGGAATAGCACGGACACTAGTTTTTATTTCGAAAAAAAATTGCGTTTCCCGTGGGATCGATTTGTTTTTGTTTTTCACTGAAGTCGAACCTGAAAGAAACGGGCCGCTATATTTTATATTGTATAGACTACTAGTGACTCATCCTTGCTTCGCTCGAGTTCGTCCCTTGGTACGTTTTAACGGTTAGTATGGAACTGATAGACTATATATAATTTATATACAAATACATACACATAGGTATGATGAGTTGTTGAGGGTTGTATAAAAAAAATATTTTCCCGTGGGAATTTCATACTCTCACGCGGTAAAAAGTAGCCTATGTCACAGCCATACAACTATCTATCTCCATACAAAAAAAACACGCCAATCCGTCACTCTGGTTCGACGTGAAAGAATGACAAGCAAAGCAGTTTCAACTTTCAATTTATGGTATAATATTTATTATTTAGTTCTGAAAAGAACTGTTTTACGAGATGTCGAGTGTAGGATTTAATGTTTGTATTAATATTTTTTAAATAAAACCTTTAATTATTTTTGTTATAACATTTCATTTTATTATTACATTACTTATTTAAATCAGTATAAAATGTCTAAGTGAAAGTAACTTTGTGCCTTGTTTTATGGAGCACTCTTGATATTTTATAATAAACTTAGGTATGTTGTTAAAATTGTATATTCAATTGGCCTAGTCGCAGTTTAATATTTTTCTGAAATATTGATTAACTTGCGCTTCACATTTTGGCAAGAGTTGTTATTTATGAATTATATGACCAAAAGTACAATTTTCTTTTTTAAAAAGTAAAAACTTGAATAAATACAAAAAAAAACCGGGATTCGTAGACGTATAAACTCAAACACACACATGCACACACACCCACACTCATATACACACACACATGCACACACACATTCACACACATACCACACACACACACATATTCATCCATTTTCATTTATTTACTCAGTTATCAAGTTAATGTTACTACTAACGATAGAACCTAGTATTGTAATTAGTTGATAGTATAAATGAAAACATATTGTACGGTACATAAATATACTGGTAAATATCCAAAGGGGAACGGGACTGTTACTCCTTAATACAGATTATTTTTATAACCTAGCAAGGAGTACAGTACTTCACCCAACCGTATGAAATTGATTTGTACAAGCCTTTACTGTAAAATATTACTATGTTCTATGTTCAATTTCCTTATTTATGAATAAAGTTATTATTATTATTATTCGAACCCGGACACCTGTGCCGTTTGATCACGATGCTTATTTCCAAGCTTGCGAAATTAGCGACCATATTTTGCGTGGAATAATGCGAAATAAAACTGTATGAAAACTTGAAAACACGCGTTTTCTCAGCGTAATCTAGATCGATTTTTCGCCACTAAAAACCCACAAGTACCAAAGAAGTGAAATCGTTAAAGCCGTTTTCGAGATCACCGGTATAAATAAACAAGAATTGCTCGTTTAAACGTATTATATATATAACTAGCATTGCCCGCGGCTCCGCCCGCGTTCAGATGACTAAAAACCAAATTCTTAGGTTTTACATATTAGTATACTCTTACAATGCAGTTTTTGTATTTTTTCTCAGAAATGAGATATTTTCCCGCGGTAAAAAGTATCCTATATGTTGACTCGGAAACCAGCTATCATCATACCGAATTTCATCAAAATCTGTCCAGTGGTTTTCTCGTGATGCGGTAACAGACAGACAAACAAAAATTCTAAAACTATACATTCGGACTTTGTATCGATAATAATGTCTATTTCAATTAGATTTTCCAAAAAATATTAAATTATTATTTAATTAATTTGAATTATGTATAGATAAGTGATCTGGGTTAAAAATCACTTGCACAAAATCAATAATTTTCATTTTGAGTAAGTCAAATTTTATAACAAAATTACAACATGTTACTTCAAAGCTTGTTATACTGTTAAAAAAAAAACAAATAATTACAACCTTATAAAATGTAATCATATTTATATATTTTTGTATCACATGTCAATTGTGAGTTTATAGAAATTAATTTTTCTTTTCATAAAATAATTTAATCATGTTGTTTATGTTTAAAATGCATGGAGTTTTTTTTAATGTGATACAGTGTGTACAAATTAAAAAGATTTACAAAATCATTTTTATATAAATTTTATATTATACTTATATAGATTAAAGCAATACTGAGTACTGACCTATTAAAGTCATATCTATATATGCAAAAATATAAAGATTGTAGTATCTATTTTATGTTTAATCAGTCAATATTTGTTAAGTATGTGGGTTGAAAATAGCACTAAAGGCAAATTGTAATGTATTACAATCAAAAATATTTATACTGATTTGAAGTATAATATGACTTTTAGAAAAATGATTCTCAAATTTAATTCATTTGTATCAGGTATAACTGAAGGTTTAGGTTATTCAATAAAACATAATGCTGTTTAAGATTGGTCGGTGACATTTTGACTCAAAATCATGCAATAGTTCATCAATATCATTATCTAAATCATCACTTTGTGCCATTTTAGTAACCATGTCACTTATTAAGAATGCTCCAATGGTAGCCTCTTCATGGTTATCTTGAATATCAATGTTGATGACATGCACTGGTTGGTTATATATTGATCTTCTTGATCCAAACCATTCAATCACTTGGTCATACACTCTTTCTTCACAAGTTATAATTACATCAAAACGCTCTGTTGTTACTTGAAATTTTTCAGGAGATGGTTTTATTCTTCGATTTCTATCTAACATGTGAAGTAATCCATTTTGTGTGTAATATGCTTTATCTTTGTCCAATAAATCGTTATAAATATCATCATAAGGAACTCCAAATTCATAGCAATTAGGTCGATCAGCTGATGCTCCTGGTAACTTAACCTTTTCACCTGTTCCATATGATTTAACTTTAAAACCTTTTTTTGCAAGAAAAGCATGAGCTTCCATGCTTCTATTCATATTTGATGAGCAGACTACAGCAATGTATAAATCATCCATTCTTACAATAAAAAATTGTAGTCATTTAGTTTATAATGAACGTGGTGACGTTGTCAGCTATTTAATCATTATTACGATATACTAAATGAGGCAGTTATTTCTATATAATTGAATACTGCTCAAATATATATTATTTTATCACACAAACAAAAAAAAAATTGTCTGAAAACAGTACTATTTGGATTTCAAGTGTAGTTGGTACCTACTTTCAAGTTTCAACTTTTGTAAAATCAAAAATGCCAATTGTCAATTCTGATTTCTGACATATGAATATTTGTCATTGTCAAATGTCATTAGGCCGCGCGCACCATAGATTATATTGCTACATATAAAAATACTCGATTGAGCGGAGCGTTGCTGTAGTTGGAACATCCTAAGTTAGCATTATGCCGCACAATGTGCTTTAGTGCTCTAATTGGAAAACAGGGACAATCTTGTGAAGTAAATCACCATAGAGTAAATCACAAAAATTAAAAAATATAGTAAGTCTGTACAATGATCTGTGCTCTGTAGGTACATAAAAAAAATATAATTCTTAAATCTTATAAAATATAACCTCTAATTGTTTTTATCATTGTCGATTTGTTGAACTGTAAATACTTTAAATATATAAAATAAACATTACATTAACTTATCGAAACAATGTTGCGTAATTTAAGAAGGAATGTTTTTCATAATCATTATGCGATTTTTTTTTCACCAAAACAAACATTTTTAACTAATGAATATAAGTGTACTGAAGATTGGAATTTGCAAACATCCTCATCTTTATTAAATAAAGTAAATCTTAATGATTTTTACAATGTTCTTGATCAGAACTATACTTCGAAAGGCGTAATAAGTGCTATTGATGTAGATATATTTGCTAATGCTGTAAAAGAATCTATATATCTAGATGAACTTAAAGATCTTTTGCATAAGTTAAGGCTTTCTGCAGAAACAGGCAAGACATTGGAATCCACACATCATGCTACTATAAGAAATTACATTGAATTTGGGAACATACAAGATTTAGTTCACATACTTAAGGATCCTTTGAATTTCGGTATTTTTTTAGATTTTTATACAGCAAATATATTATTAGATAAACTATTAAATGAGCAAAATTACGAAATAGCTGCTAATGTTGCTTCTCTTATTATGTTGCAAGAAGATTTTTCTAATGAAATTACAAACGCTATGTGTCAATATGCATGCTACAAGTATTTAATGACAACTAAGGAAGTAGAAAAGAAACCTTCATCTGAACCAAATAAAAAGGAAAAGATTGAAGAAATTAAAATAAGAGTTAAATTTTTAAGAAACCCATACTTTGATGATCACTTTGATCTAACAGATTTAAAAATATTATCTGGAAAAACATTGGCATGGATATCAAAAATTTCAAATGATAATGTTAATTACAACTTACAAATTCTGGGTTGGGTCTTTTATCAAAAATATAATAAAGTTTTATCTTTATGTGAAGAAATTATAAATAATAAAGCCTTTAAATTATACCCTGAAATATTGGAGATATTAGAAAGGGAATCTAAAGTAGAGCAAGCTGGTGGAACAGATTTGTTAGAAAAATGTATTGAAAAACTAAAAAATGCTTCTTTAATAGAAGCAAATTTAGACGATTCCATAAAAAACACCATAGAAAATGCTATAAATAGAACACAAAATAAAGATATTGCATGCCAAAAGCAAGTTAGTACTTAACACTTTTTAATAATTTCATTATTAAAGTCACCTTTTTAATATTTTTTTATGCATTTCAGTTATTTCAAATATGGGAGAAAATAAGACAAGAAAAGTTGGAAGAGCAATCAAAACGATTAGACAGAGTAAAGCGCATGAAGAATATTGAAGAGAAGCAAAAAGAATTACTAGTGGATGAACAAAAATTGTGGTTCTTTGAAAATGAGGAAAGTATTGACCTACAAATTGAAGAAAAAGAACAACTTGAAGACAATACTGTTACAAAGAAAGTAGCACAACAAAAGAGTGATGAGAATTATATACCACCTGAAATTTTACCTAAGCGCAAATAAAATAAATTAGCAAAATGAGTCTAAATAATATACCAATATTATGCTTATATTATTATCTCCTTACATATAATTAACTAGACATGTTTTAAATAGATTACTTATAAATATTTAATTTAAATTTAAAACTATTATAATATTAACCCACAGGAATTTTATCAACTTTTCAATTTCATTTGTGTGTTTCAGTGTGTTTGTTTGCCCTTTCACATTTCACAGAAACAGAGTGACAAATTGACATGATTTTTTGTGTGGAGATAGTTGGTGGGCTGGAGTGACAATCTATTTTATACCGCAGGAGATTATCGCATTTCTATGGGAAACACTTTATAATACAAGCCACAACAACTCATCATACCTATGTATCTATTATTATACAATATTTAAGTATGTAATTATCTATTTCATACTAACTGTGAAAAGTATCTAGGGACACTTCATCTTCACTTTCACACCTTGAGGGATGATTTCCGGGGTAAAAACTATCCTATGTTCTTCCCAGGGTCTCAAGCTATGTTTATACCAAATTTCGTCTAAATCGATTCAGTGGATTAAGTGTGAAAAGGTAACAGGCAGACAGTTACTTCCGCATTTATATATGCATCACTATGGATGTACAGTAGGGTATTCCGTCCATGTATGAGAAAAAGGTTTTTTTTCGAGCTAGTAGCTATACTATCGCAAGAGGTATGGAAATTTGGCGTAATTTTACACTAACTACGACAAAGAAAAAAAAACACTAGAAATACGTGTCATCTTCAGGGCTCTACCGCCCTTTGAAATTTTGTAAATTTTACGTTTTGCATAAAACAAAATATTAGAGCTTTATAATCAATGAGAAAAACTTAAAACTAATTTTTGTATCCGAAATTGGGCATTTCTGCTCGAGATTGCAACCTCGTATCTATTATAGTCATCTCTAGCGTCAGTTACACTTTGTAAGGCTTCTGTAACCTGCTTGACACATCTCTTCTTTCTAAAGTCTTCTAAAGTTATCTTTTGCCGTGATTTAAAGGTTGTTAGCATATGTCGAAGAACAGGCGGTGCTGTAACCTGACACTCGTGCCACAATAAGTTCCCAAAGAAGTTACTGCAATATATAAGTAATATCCTGCGTCTAGTGCTACTGTCAGCTTCTCTAGCTTTTATTATTCTTTGCAATGCCAGCTCTCGAATATGATATCTATCGAAGTGCTAATTAACACTTCTTAAAAAATAAAAACGAAAAAGACTTAACTGGGTAAAAAGATGCAAGTTGACAAAGGGGCATAGTATTGATTTTTAATAATATGTATCTGTTATCCTTATGACATCTAAAGCGTTATTAAGACGAATTTAACAACGTAGAAATCATCAAAATCAGTTATGCCGTTAACTAATTACGAGGGAACAGGATCGGACATAGGTATACATACATAGGTACAAGTCAAACATAACCCTCCTGTGGGGTTCGCCGCAATCGGGTAATAAGTAGTAACACGTCTGTTCAACGCTTCTACTGAAGAGGAGAGATGGCTCATTTTTCGCCCAAAGATTCGACATTGTCATTCGGTGGGGGAATGCAGGTAGCACTCTTGCTACAATTGATTATTGAACGCGCGGACGTACGAGTATTGTATAGTATTTATTAAGCGTTCATTTGTTTTGTTTTAGTTGATATAATTCAGTATACATTTTATCATTTGTAAAGAGTCTATAATAATATTCTAGTTTAAGATATAGGAAGCCGGCATGGCAACACCATTTGAATTACGTATCTGATTTTACAAGGATACGCTGTATGAACATCGACGATTTCAGAATAATGTAGTTTTTATGTGCGGTCCTTGTCGTGATGGTGGTACTTCTCTGATAGTAGAGTGGACTGTTGGAGCAACCCCATGGTTGTTGTGGTCTGCTCCGGCAGACCTGCCGTCGGGGCGTCGTGGTTGAATGCGTAAGCAATAATGTTCCATGCCTAGTAAGCAATGCCCCATTAAGACGGGGGATGTTCCGTTGGGTTTTAAGTGGCTTTGCCCGTAAGTCCCACATAAACACCTGTATGTATGCAGGTGGTATGCCTAAATACATTTCCCAACGAAAAAAAAATGATAACGTCAAATCTATACATATAATAAAATTGTAACTAAGTCGAATTTGTACATTAAATATTTTTTGGAAAATCTAATTGAAATAGACATTATTATCGATACAGAGTCCGAATCTATAGTTTTTAGAATTTTTGTCCGTCTGTCTGTTACCGTATCACGAGAAAACCACTAGGCAGATTTTGATGAAATTTGGTATGATGATAGCTGGTTATCCGGGTCAACATATAGGATACTTTTTACCGCGGGAAAATACTTCATTTCTGAGAAAAAATACAAAAACTGCATTGTAAGAGTATATTAATATGTAAAACGAGTGGTTTTTGGTCACCTGAACGCGGGCGGAGCCGCGGGCATGGCTAGTCGTAATATAAATTTCCACAACAATTCTACACGACATTGGCGAAGTAAATTGTACCCAAATGGCACACCTATAAGACAGAACAAAGAACATTGAACAAATGCGGGTATTAAATAAATAAAATTATAATACATGATTTGATTAAGCATTTATAATATTACATTATTAGTTGTCCTTCTGTAGTTTTGTAAGATCTAACTGTATTTTCTTCAATATATCTTCAGTTCTCTTAGATTTCTCAGCCTTGATATTTTCTTCTAAGTCGATGATGTCTCTGGATAAGATGCCGGTGTCATTTACCAGAGTCACAATAGTGTTGCACTCTGAATGCAATAAGGCCAGTAGTTTATATGCTTTTTTTGCTTGATCATCTCTCTTAGCATCCTGAATTGAAAGACGTTATAGAATAGTTAGTATAATTGTATTTATCTATTCTTCTATTCTAATATTAAAAAGAGAAATCATTTGTTTTCTTGTTTGTTTGTTTGTATCGAATAGGCTCCGAAACGAAAGAATCGATTTAGATGAAATTTGGTAAGTAGTTTGAAACCCTAGGAAGAACATAGGATAGTTTTGATCACAGAAATCATCCCTTTAGGGGGGTGAAAATATGGGGGAGTGAAAGTTTGTATAGGGAAACAACCTAGTTACTTCTACTTACTACTACGCTCGTTACTAATATATAGGAAATAAAATAATGTTACCGTGTTTTTCATTATTTTTTAAGTAAATTTGTCAATAAAAACATTATTTGCTCCTTTGAGTGTAATGTGATTGATATTGTATTATCTCATAATTAATATTGTAAATGCGAAAGTATGAATGGATGTTTGTTACTCCATCACGTCAGAACGACTGAACGTATCTGGATGAAATTTATCACAGACATAAATTCTAGCCTAGAATAGCACATAGGTTACTTTTTATCCTGGAAAAATGTACGGTTCCCGTGGGATAGATTTGTTTTTGTTTTTCACAATTTTTCTATTATATACTAGCCGTTAAAACGTATCTCAAGACGAACCCGAGTGAAACGAGGGTGAGAGAGGGCTTGTAATATATAATTAGCTAACACTTTGATGATGATTCACCATTATTTACTTATTATTATTGTAAGATATAAAATTACTTAAGCCGCGTAGACACGATCAAAGTCTACTTTGACAAAATAGTTTGATGACTACTTTGTGTTTATCAAAGCAAATTTCGTTTCAAAGCATTTTGTCAAAGTAAACTTTGATCGTGTCAACGCGGCTTTAATGTCCTACTTACTTTGAACAAAGTTTCATCTGCTATAGAAAAGCATCTGTCTAGTTGACCTTCTAGAGTATTGATTTCCTTTTGAAGCTGTCTGGTGTCTTCTAAGATTTTTTTTATTTCCGCATTCTGTTTATCTACATTACCTATTATTTCCAGTATTCGTTTTGTATAAATATGTCTAAAACATTTATATAAATTTTAATAGATTTTTACTGAGTTAATAGGAATAAATTAAAAGAGATTTTAATTACCTCTTGTTGCCACCCTTTAATTTCTCATATTTAACTTTTAGTATATTTCTTAATTCTTCTTTTTTTTCACATTCTTCTTTAATAGATTTAGCAGTGTCTTTTAGGTTGATTAAAGTATTTCTACATTTGTTTCTTTCACTCTAAAAATAAGCAAAAAGAGAAAAATAGTAACTACAATATTTAATAAGAATGGATCCAGCATGCCCAAGAAATAGGCCCACTTACATCTGATGAATTATTTAAAGTTTTTAATTTTTCAATTTCAAGTTTTAGTGAAAGGTTCCTAGAGGTCAGTTCCTCACTTTTTCTATGGAGCATGTTAATATTTTTATGCACTTTTTCTAAAATATTGTTTGTATCATCTGATTCAGCTTCAGTGATGCCAACACTATGTAAAATATTTCCTACATTATTTAAATCAGCCTCAGATTGGTCACATCTCTTTTGCACCTAAAACAAATTTATGCGAGTAAATAGTTAATGATTGACGCACAATAGTAATTTTCATTCAAATGATGCATTTATCATAATATATCTATGAAGTAAACAGTACCTGCAAAAATTCTACATCCATTAGGTTTCTTTCACTTTCAAGTCTGTCAAGTTTTTGTCGAAGTAAAATTGATGTTTCTTTCAATTCTTTTAAAGTTTTCTCAGAGTCATATTCATATGTTACACCTACTTCATTGTTAGAGATATGAACACTGTTTGATTTTTCTGTATTAATAGTTATTGCTTTTGCATTTTTTATTTCATTGAGTTTATTAATCTTCTCAGTGATTTCTTCAGAACTTATTCTTATATCTAGTGATTGATCTGCTTAAAAGAAAATGTTACTAAACTATTAATCTTACTATTATATAATGCAAAAGTTTTGTAAAATTTGTTCTCTCATGCTTAAATCATTGGACAGATTTGTATGAAATTTATTACATAGGTAGACATAACTTAGAATAACATGGGCTAGTTAAGTAGTAGTTAGGTAGTTATAAAATATGCCAAAAGGTGGTATTGATTACTTACCAAAAAATTAATGTATATATTATTATAATATCCTCCTCACCGATTTCGGCCACGGTGGCTAATCTTACCGAAACTAGCCATCTGCGCAGGAGATATTATAGTGCACAAGTGGGTGTGTAGACACAAGTGAACTCTCTATTCCTTTTCCTCTCGGTCTGATAGGACTATATTTCGACACGACCGGTGAGAGTTAAGGCGCATGACCGACGGCTTTACGTGCTCTCCGAGGCACGGGGGTGAAACACCGCCAACTATCCAACTCCGAGCTATTGCTAAGAAGATCTTATGAGAAAAACTTAGTAATTAAGTTTAACCCGACCCGAGACTCGAACCCAGGACCTCTGGATCTTCAGCCGTACATGCTAGCCACTAGACCACCGAGGCAGTTAACATATTATATTACATATAACATAAAGAAAATTTGATGTTTTTGTATCAAGTCAATGACCAAGGGAAGTATCATCTTTTACCTTGATTATATGCATAATCTCCTAAAGCATTTTTCACAGTAACCTTGCAACATGGTGGTATCCATATGGTATCTAAATCTTCCCCAATTTTATTACTAATATCTTGAAGAATCTGGTGTTTTCTGTTGGTGGGTTTTACTTTTGTTGTTATTTTCTTGTCTTCACTTGGTAGTTTTTCAATAAGGAACATAAAAACTTGCCTTAATTCTGTTTCATTATGATAGAGGAATGTTTGGTATCCAACATCATTCTGATAGCCTAGATCCTGTTGAAAACAGTATGGTACATACATATATTAAAATAAATCTGCACTCAGAATTGCTATATTCTTAGTAATAGTACTATAAACCATACATCTACATTTTACTTGTGGGTTTAACAATCTAGCGACTTTCATAGTACTGTGCGGTGCCAGTCACTACATAATATTATAGTCTACTAATTTGCGTCCTCTTTTGCTAAGAGAAGAGTGGCAATGAATAGGAAACAGTGGAAGGTATTGGAATAGGCACACCAAGCTTAAAGACATACTATGATTAGAGAATGGAAAAAATACTTTAAAACATTCGGTATAAAAGGCTTTATTAGTATTATTAATTTGCGAGATTATTATTATTATTAATTTCCTCAATCATTAGGCAATATTACCTTCATTATTAGCTAATAGCTAGTATGCCATTGAATAAAAGGTTTCAAGATCAACAAAAACAAGTAAGAATGAAATAATTCAAAATAAACTTGAATTAAAATAATGTGTGAATTAAAATATTTTATAATATCTATGAGATTTTAAAAGTATAATTTCTTTAGGTATACATAAGTGAGGGGTATGTCAATACAATTACATTGGAAAAATGAGTGTCTCTGAAGTGTGTCACAGAAGTGAGAGTTAAATTTATTATTATTTATAAGTATATTTTTTATAAATAATTTATTAAATATATTTATAATTATTATTATTTTTAAAAATGAATATTTATTACTGTGGGATGAATGTGCATGAATTAAATAAAAGCTATTATGACCTTTGTGTGAAGTGTGAATGAAAGAAAAAATGAGCAAAGGGACAGTGTGTTCCACCATGTTGAACTTTAGTTAAATCATGAATGAGAAAGTTTTAGTTTTAAAGAAGGATGCAAACTGCAAAGACGTAATAAACTATTCAAAAATTAATAAACATATTAAGGTGACTGTGGTGTGGTAGTTTTTTATTGCTGGTATCCTAAATTCAACATAACTAATAATTTAATAAAAAAAAAATTTTTTCAAATCAAATCAAACACTTTATCAAAATATAAATACATATTTAGATTTAGATTTAATTGTGGTATCTGCCACAGTGCCAAAGAAGTTTTACTTTAACCATGCATAAAGGTTATAGACACTTATTTTTATTATTATATATATCTTAAAAAGTTGAGTTTATTAAATTTTAAATTATAATTTGAAGGTATGATTTTAAAACTAAATTTGTATTAATTACAATCGATACATTTGAGAATTCTTATTAAAAATTATTTATAATTTTTAAAAGCCACATAACAAAGAATTAATTGAAAAATTCTAATTAGGAGCTTCCTAAATTGGATATACAATGTAAGACAAGCAAGTAACAACATTGTCATTTGAAGCTACCTAAGAATTAAAGTTAAAGACTATTTACACTTATTGTGTAATATCTCATTTTTTGAAAATTACCTTACACAATGATGCAACTTGTGCTGCAATTTCAATTCTTTGTGATACACTGGAAGGCAACTTATTTGGGACTTTGAATTGAGAGTTTATTGCAGTTATACATCTTGTAGCTGAATCTACTATTGTATCTACTGGTAGGTCACTAATATTTTTTATATCTTCACTAATTTCACTGAAAATATAAGTTTTATATATTTTAAGATCCAAACACTGATGTGATTTTACACATAAAGAAACTAAATAATTTATGTTTACGCAGTCTTTGTTATTGTTATTAAATATTATATTTTAAAAGTAATTTTATTGCTGCTAAACATAGTTCAATATTTTGATAAAATATATTAGTATAATTTATGACTAACATATTAAGATGTCTTAAAAAATGTATTATTATAGAATCCACTTCTTCCATTTTACGTTTCTTCTTTCGAATTACGTTTCTTGGAGTCTTGTACAAAGTAATGCCGTGCAATTGTAAATGTTAATTATTTAAATTTAAAACAAAGATTTATTTTAGTTCAGTTCTTTGCTTTAATAAGATTTATTTTAAATAAAAAAATCACGACTGACGACCGCCGACATTCGACAACTATGGACAGTGAACTGACAGTGACAACTGACAAATTGACACTTGACAGTGCTGCCACTGCTGCACTTGAAATTTTATCCTTCTAAAGGATCCCCCCACAAACTAGAGATGCTACGATCCCCCTTAGATTTTTAATTTTTAAATATATATTTTTTATTTTAAATGATTACAAGTAGCGGAAAAAACTTATTTATGATTATTATTACAATAATTACATATAACCATTTAAAAATAATAATAAATACCATAATAACTTAGAAAATAATAATAAAGTCTTTAACTGAAACTTTAATAAACCCCTAAGTCCTAACCATAGACCCTAAATTTTTTTGACCACTAAAAAAATCCATAAATTTGGGGTAGAAAGCCCCTTACATAGTCTGTGCAATTATCAATCACAATTTCACAGACCAGGAACAAGACAGAAGAAATCAATAATTATCACTTGTCATTCTTTATTGTACTCTGTCAAACAGTTAAATGTTTAAATGTAAATGTATACCTACTTTTAAGTTTTAACCATTAAATTTTGTACTCCATTAATTTATACAATTGTATTAAAACTATATGAAAGTATATAACACCATGGGAACATTATTTTTTACTGTTTTCATATGTTCCGTTTTTCAACATGCGGTAAAGTAGTATTTGTACTGTTCTTGCAGTAAATGTTATGATTATATGAATAGGTACATTAAATTTTGTTAACTTTAGATTTGTCTTGACTACGATGGATGGTTGACTATTAAAATGGAACATTCTTTGAATTGCAAAACCGAAAAATTTTGTCCAAGAGGAAATATCACATTGAAAAGTATTAGGGCAGGCACAGCAATTATTGATCAAAGTAATTTCAGCAAACAGGATATAAAGGAACTTAAGGTTAATATTGACTACCCTAATTGAAACATAATTTTTGTCATGAATAAAATATAATGGTACCTATTATAATTTTTAGGACATAGCTGATATGGATGGGTTCTACACTATAAGAGCATTAGTTACATCTGCTGATAGTAAAGAAATTGAACTTTTCTCTTCAGTAAAAGCTCAATTATTTTTAGACACTGGGTTATCTGATATTATTAATGCATGGGTACTACCAAACGGTGAAGTTATGGCAGTCAGCTTTCAAGTAGCAAACTTATCATTCGTTCAGAGCTTAGATTATGAAAGAAATGAGTATGAAGTAAATTCTAAATTTTTTGTCCGCCATGTGGATCAAGCTCCAGTGTAAGTAAATGTTTTATAAGATTTTTAAATGGAGAAACTGAGTATTAAAATCTATACAAGTTTGGTTTTCTCTATTTTAAGGCCTGATACTGCATCATATATACAAAAATTAGAGAGAGAAAGAGAGGCAAGGGAAAAGGGTGATGTAAAAGATAATAGATCATTTTTAGCTAAATATGTAAGTACTTTTGCCAATTATGTGTCTATCAATATAATAAATTTAAATAAATTAAATGATATAATGAATTCTTAATATGTTTCAGTGGATGTATATTGTGCCTATTGCAATATTTGTAATGATTTCTGGTATAACAAACCCTGAACCAGCAGCTCAAGCATCTAGATAAAAATGTTGAATTATCTTACAATTAAGCTACAGTAAATAAATATAATTTATTATATTACCATATTGTTCTGTCTAGTAAAATAAAAGATTATTGTATAACAAGACATTTTATTTTCATTTTCAATCTTACTAGAATAGTTATATAAATTCAAAAGCAAAGCAAAGTTGAAGTCAAGCTTTTATTGTAAAAAAATTTATGCACCAATTTTTTCAATTTCTTCTGCATCTTCAATGTCGAGCAGCTGAATTTTTTTACCAAAGTGTGCTTCAATCTCTAAGCATATGTCCATGGCCTGTGATGAGTCAATTAAGTTAATAGCGATACCAGCTTTACCAAATCTTCCTGTACGGCCAATTCTGTGCAAGTAGGTTTCACAATCTGCTTTTTTGTCCATATCCATGGGCATATCAAAGTTTACTACAAGTGTCACTTGTTCCACATCTATTCCACGGGAGAGAACATTGGTTGTTATTAACACTTTCTCAAGGCCAGCTCTGAATCGATCAAGTACTGCTATTCTCTGTTCTACTGTTAATTCGCCAGATAATACAGCAACTGAGTGTCCATCTCTCGACATTTTTTCAGAGAGCCAACTTGCTGTTTTTCTTGTGTGGCAAAATATGATTGCCTGTCCAATTGTTATAACCCCATAAATATTACAAATAGCTGTGTATTTATCATCTGGACTTTTACATTTAACATAGTACTGTTTGATATTATCAAGCGATTCCTCTTCTCGTAATAATCTGATTATAATAGGATTGGGTACAATTATTTCTGCAAATTCCATAACGGCACTGTCATATGTGGCAGAAAAGAACATCATTTGACATGTAGAGGGAAGGCATTTATGTATGCGGATACATTGGTCTTGATGACCTTGTCTATCAATCATCACATCAGCTTCATCCAAAACAAACACTTTAATTTTACTTAAATCAAACATTCCAAATTTGACACCCCAATCTAACATCTTTCCAGGGGTTCCGATAAGTATATGGTCTATAATTTTAGTTCCTTTTGGAACTTCTTCACCTCTCACAGCATACTTCAGTTTTATTTCTGGACAAAATTTTGCCATTTTTGCTGCTACTTCTCCTGTCTGAATGGCTAGCTCATAAGTAGGACTAAGACATAACACTTGTGGATAATTCTTAGTGGTATCAACTCGGCTCAACATTGCTAAAACAAATGCTGCAGTTTTACCAGTTCCTGACTGGGACTGTGCAATCATATTCTGAGGAGGATCAGCTAATAGAGTGGGTAGTGCAGTTTCCTGTATTTTTGAAGGAGCATTAAATCCCATAGCATAGACACCTTTAAGTAAATTTGGTTTTAAATGCAGAGCTTCAAAAGTTTTAACTGAATACAATGGAGAGTTGGGATCCTTCCTTTGAATTTCAATGTCTTGCTTAGATTCCACTAATCCTTGTCGGATGATTTTCATTAAGAGGGATGCTTCGGCAGGATTCGCGGCATCAGCGCTTTCTTCTGACGAATCTAATTGTTGACTGGAGATGGGTTTTTTAGCTAAACCTAAACCAGCAACTTTGTTAGAAATTTCCAGCTCCTCAGCTTTTTGACCCCACTGATTTGCCATTTTTAACCTGAAAATTGTATTATTATATATTAAATACGTTGATAGTAAAAATAATCACAAAAACATTAATGAGTTTAAAAACTTTAAGTCACATTTAAAAATGTCACTTAAACATTGAAATTTATGAAGACTTACACGAAGTAATTTGTAAAAGTTGTCGATTTAATGATATAATTCGAAAAATATTATAAAAACATGTATTTTACGAAGAATAACTTTATTATTTTCCCGGCTTAAGACTTCCAATTTACTAATCATCTGACGTTTGTAACCATGGATGACAAATAAAATTTGTAACTACAGTTGAATCTTGAAGTTACTAACAGTGTTGCCAACACTCTAAAGAAAACGCGCTAAATTGACTTCAAAAAAGCGCTAGATTTGGACATTTTTCGAAAAAAAGCGCTAAATTATAAAAAATTTGGAAATTATTATTATTTTTAAATTAAAAGTTACATAACAAGATAATATTATTTACAAATTTATTAGCTAATATTTTTCATCGTCAGAAACTTGTTCCTCTTGTACAATTTGGTGGTACCTACATAGTTTTGATCATGACTTACATATCGTATTTTTCTAGTATGTAATGTAATAAGAAATTAACATAGTAAATCTAACCTGAACATTATGTACCAGAGGTACAAAACCTATTGGAAAAAATTTGAGCCCATAAAATTGTGTTTGCGGTCTCTGTATGTTCTTTCACTGTGTTTTTGGGCAGAAAATCAAATTAGTTATAGTTTCTAATCTTAAAAGAAACGGAGTATAGTGTTTTTTTTAGTTTATGAGGCTCTAGATCAGCCATACTAAACCTTTTTTTTATAGGAGCCACAAACACGTTTTAGTCATGGTGTCGAGGGAAGCAAGCAAAAATTATTTAGGTCTTAATGAAAACGTAATTCCAAGTTAACGATGTAGTTACTTTTTTAACAAAGATATTTTATAATGCGATTTTTAATGCTTCCGCATGCGGCCCGCAGGTCGCAGGTTGAGTATAGCGGCTCTAGATGCTTGTTGTTTTATTTATTATGAACGATTACGTTCCTTTACATGTTATTTTAAAGAAGAGAAATATTTTAAATAAAACTATCTTTTCGGATTTTGTCGCGGATTTATTTGGATTTTTGTTTCCCGACGTTTCGAATGCTTTACAGCATCCATGGTCACGGGAGAGACTGAGGTGTTACATGTCTTGAATGTATAGTTGTTACAGACAGCCTACCCACAATTAACAAAATGAAAATTGCACCAATTACATTACAATATTTTTTAACTTTAAACATTTTTATAATTTTAATTATAATTGAATATGGAAAATTATTTATTTAATTTTGCTATTATTTTTATAATTATTACAATTTTAAAATATTAATTAGTAATCTATATTTAGTGTTGCCATTATTATATTTATAACCATAAAGAAAAATATAAAATGTAGTATTAATTATTAAAGCCATATAATTGTTCTATGTGTAATTTAAAAAGTTAAATTAATTAAGGATAATAATTTTAATTTAGTTTGCTATTATTTAAAAAACAACTTACTAAGCAACACTATTAATATATACTTTTACAAATGAAAGATGAAAAATATTAGTCTGATAAGCTGTCATTTTGATCTACACAGTATGAACTTACTACATCTGCCTGTCTGTTATGTTTATATTTATTATTTGATTTTATTATATTAATAACAGGATCCCATGACGATGGTAGTACCCAGCCATCTTCCCTATTGAAATTAGGATGTTTTTTAATTTCTATGGCTTCTCGAATCATTCTAGGGCGATATCGGTTTTCTTTCGCCAGGATTTGAGGTCTATCGAAGCGAATATAATGGCTTGGGCGGTCCTGACTATGTTTGCAGACAGCAGATGTTGTATTGCGACGGTGCTTCACATCAGCTATGTGTTCTTTGACCCGGGTTCTAATGGATCTCTTTGTTTGTCCGATGTAAGAGAGCCCACAATCACAATCAAGCTTGTAAACTCCTGCATCTTGTAGAGGGATGTGGCACTTGACAGGTGGTAGAAACTGACTAATTTTCTTTGGCGGCTTGAAGTAAGTTTTAATTGAAGCTCGCTTTAGAATGTAGCCAATCTTGTCAGTGACGCCTCTCATGTAAGGTAGGACTGCAGGGACGCGCTCGACTGTGGCTGGTTTCACTCGGTCCCTGTGACGTAGGCGCGGCACTTGCAGCTTGTTGTCTCGCAGAACTTGCTTGACATGTTGCAGCTCTCCGGCCAGGTGTTGCTCGTCACAGATCCCGCGTGCCCTCTGAAACAAAGATTTTCCCACGGTAGCTAACTGTGAAGGGTGGTGGTGAGATTCACCATTCAAGTACCTATCAGTATGGGTCTTCTTTCGATACACAGTATGACTTAAGGTGTTATCTGGGTTACGTATAACTAATACATCTAAGAAAGCTAAAGAATTATTAGACTCCAATTCCATTGTAAATTGTATTTTAGGGTTTATGGAGTTAAGATGTTCTAAGAATACAGATATTTTATCAGATGGTAATATTGTGAAAGTGTCATCTACATACCGCTTGTAAAAACGAGGGGTCACAGGTGATGTGTTTAGTGCGGTCTCCTCGAAGGCCTCCATGAAGATGTCAGCTACAACGGGAGAGACCGGCGAACCCATGGCCACTCCATCCACTTGCTTGTAGAATTCATCATTCCACAATAGATAGCCAGATGTAAGGCAGTGTTTCAAAAGTTCAGTGTATTCTTCTTGCATACTATTATCCCGTAGCTTTCTTGATACTATTTTGACACAGTCCTCTACTGGTAGGCTGTTGAATAGAGACTGTACATCAAAACTGACCATAGTTTCATTGTCCATGAGTTGTAGGTGTTTTATCTCATTGACAAAATGGTACGAGTCCCTTGTGAACGCTGATGTTTGTCCTCTGAATGTTGAGAGTACTTTCGCTACTAGTTTGGCCAATTTATAAGTCGGTGTGTCGATTTGACTCACAATTGGACGTAGCGGAGCGTTAGGTTTGTGTATCTTTGGAAGTCCATACAGTTTAGGCGGCTTTGCACAAGATGGAACAAGATTTTTGACATCAAGATTCAATGCATCAAGATACGACGGTCCGTCGTGATGGATACATCAGATTACAATGAGAAAATTAAACAACTTTTGTCGGATGAAAGTACATATAAAAAGGTCAAAACAGACCCAACCACCACTGTGTTAAATAATACTAAAAAGCTGATTAAGAAACACTCCGATGCATTGAATCTTGATGTCAAAAATCTTGTTCCATCTTGTGCAAAGCCGCCTAAACTGTATGGACTTCCAAAGATACACAAACCTAACGCTCCGCTACGTCCAATTGTGAGTCAAATCGACACACCGACTTATAAATTGGCCAAACTAGTAGCGAAAGTACTCTCAACATTCAGAGGACAAACATCAGCGTTCACAAGGGACTCGTACCATTTTGTCAATGAGATAAAACACCTACAACTCATGGACAATGAAACTATGGTCAGTTTTGATGTACAGTCTCTATTCACCAGCCTACCAGTAGAGGACTGTGTCAAAATAGTATCAAGAAAGCTACGGGATAATAGTATGCAAGAAGAATACACTGAACTTTTGAAACACTGCCTTACATCTGGCTATCTATTGTGGAATGATGAATTCTACAAGCAAGTGGATGGAGTGGCCATGGGTTCGCCGGTCTCTCCCGTTGTAGCTGACATCTTCATGGAGGCCTTCGAGGAGACCGCCCTAAACACATCACCTGTGACCCCTCGTTTCTACAAGCGGTATGTAGATGACACTTTCACAATATTACCATCTGATAAAATATCTGTATTCTTAGAACATCTTAACTCCATAAACCCTAAAATACAATTTACAATGGAATTGGAGTCTAATAATTCTTTAGCTTTCTTAGATGTATTAGTTATACGTAACCCAGATAACACCTTAAGTCATACTGTGTATCGAAAGAAGACCCATACTGATAGGTACTTGAATGGTGAATCTCACCACCACCCTTCACAGTTAGCTACCGTGGGAAAATCTTTGTTTCAGAGGGCACGCGGGATCTGTGACGAGCAACACCTGGCCGGAGAGCTGCAACATGTCAAGCAAGTTCTGCGAGACAACAAGCTGCAAGTGCCGCGCCTACGTCACAGGGACCGAGTGAAACCAGCCACAGTCGAGCGCGTCCCTGCAGTCCTACCTTACATGAGAGGCGTCACTGACAAGATTGGCTACATTCTAAAGCGAGCTTCAATTAAAACTTACTTCAAGCCGCCAAAGAAAATTAGTCAGTTTCTACCACCTGTCAAGTGCCACATCCCTCTACAAGATGCAGGAGTTTACAAGCTTGATTGTGATTGTGGGCTCTCTTACATCGGACAAACAAAGAGATCCATTAGAACCCGGGTCAAAGAACACATAGCTGATGTGAAGCACCGTCGCAATACAACATCTGCTGTCTGCAAACATAGTCAGGACCGCCCAAGCCATTATATTCGCTTCGATAGACCTCAAATCCTGGCGAAAGAAAACCGATATCGCCCTAGAATGATTCGAGAAGCCATAGAAATTAAAAAACATCCTAATTTCAATAGGGAAGATGGCTGGGTACTACCATCGTCATGGGATCCTGTTATTAATATAATAAAATCAAATAATAAATATAAACATAACAGACAGGCAGATGTAGTAAGTTCATACTGTGTAGATCAAAATGACAGCTTATCAGACTAATATTTTTCATTTTTCATTTGTAAAAGTATATATTAATAGTGTTGCTTAGTAAGTTGTTTTTTAAATAATAGCAAACTAAATTAAAATTATTATCCTTAATTAATTTTAACTTTTTAAATTACACATAGAAAAATTATATGGCTTAAATAATTAATACTACATTTTATATTTTTCTTTATGGTTATAAATATAATAATGGCAACACTAAATATAGATTACTAATTAATATTTTAAAATTGTAATAATTATAAAAA